CTCACACACACACTCTCTCTCACTCACTCACTCACACACACTCTCGCTCTCACTCACTCACTCACTCTCACACACACACACACTCTCGCTCTCACTCACTCACTCACTCACACACACACACACTCTAACTCACTCACTCACTCACACACACACTCTAACTCACTCGCCCGCTCACACACACACACCTGTGATCTCTCACTGCAAACACACCACAACCCAAGCTGTTCACTGCTGATTCACCTGCTCAGTAATACTTCCACCGTGTCCACAACTTGTAACGTAACATAGCCCCCCAGATCTTGGTACCTTGCAATGGAAGTTTCCCGGCTGGCAGAAGAAGCAGTTCTTCTCGTCAGAACCGTTGGGGCAGCGGTTCTGGTAGTTGCAGCGGTCTGATCGAGGGTAACAGGCTCCGTTTCTGGAACAGGGGAACTCGTCCTCCTGACACGAAGAACAGTTCAGCTCGTCCCGACCGTTGGGACAGTGCCAGTACCCGTCACAGCGCTGCTGCTCTGTGTAACAGCCCCAGTTCCCCCCACAGGGAACCTCCCATGGCAGGCAGAACCCGTCCACCTTCAGAACACAGACACAGAAACAAGTTTAACAGAACCCGTCCCCCTTCAGAACACAGACACAAGTTCAACAGAACCCGTCCCCCTTCAGAACACAGACACAGAAACAAGTTTAACAGAACCCGTCCCCCTTCAGAACACAGACACAAGTTCAACAGAACCCGTCCCCCTTCAGAACACAGACACAGAAACAAGTTTAACAGAACCCATCCCCCTTCAGAACACAGAAACAAGTTTAACAGAACCCGTCCCCCTTCAGAACACAGACACAAGTTCAACAGAACCCGTCCCCCTTCAGAACACAGACACAGAAACAAGTTTAACAGAACCCGTCCCCCTTCAGAACACAGACACAAGTTCAACAGAACCCGTCCCCCTTCAGAACACAGACACAGAAACAAGTTTAACAGAACCCGTCCCCCTTAAGAACACAGAAACAATTTTAACAGAACCCGTCCCCCTTCAGAACACAGACACAAGTTCAACAGAACCCGTCCCCCTTCAGAACACAGACACAGAAACAAGTTTAACAGAACCCGTCCCCCTTCAGAACACAGACACAAGTTCAACAGAACCCGTCCCCCTTCAGAACACAGACACAGAAACAAGTTTAACAGAACCCATCCCCCTTCAGAACACAGAAACAAGTTTAACAGAACCCGTCCCCCTTCAGAACACAGACACAAGTTCAACAGAACCCGTCCCCCTTCAGAACACAGACACAGAAACAAGTTTAACAGAACCCGTCCCCCTTCAGAACACAGACACAAGTTCAACAGAACCCGTCCCCCTTCAGAACACAGACACAGAAACAAGTTTAACAGAACCCGTCCCCCTTAAGAACACAGAAACAATTTTAACAGAACCCGTCCCCCTTCAGAACACAGACACAAGTTCAACAGAACCCGTCCCCCTTCAGAACACAGAAACAAGTTTAACAGAACCCGTCCCCCTTCAGAACACAGACACAAGTTCAACAGAACCCGTCCCCCTTCAGAACACAGAAACAAGTTTAACAGAACCCGTCCCCCTTCAGAACACAGACACAGAAACAAGTTTAACAGAACCCGTCCCCCTTCAGAACACAGACACAAGTTCAACAGAACCCGTCCCCCTTCAGAACACAGACACAGAAACAAGTTTAACAGAACCCATCCCCCTTCAGAACACAGAAACAAGTTTAACAGAACCCGTCCCCCTTCAGAACACAGACACAAGTTCAACAGAACCCGTCCCCCTTCAGAACACAGACACAGAAACAAGTTTAACAGAACCCGTCCCCCTTCAGAACACAGACACAAGTTCAACAGAACCCGTCCCCCTTCAGAACACAGACACAGAAACAAGTTTAACAGAACCCGTCCCCCTTAAGAACACAGAAACAATTTTAACAGAACCCGTCCCCCTTCAGAACACAGACACAAGTTCAACAGAACCCGTCCCCCTTCAGAACACAGACACAAGTTCAACAGAACCCGTCCCCCTTCAGAACACAGACACAAGTTCAACAGAACCCGTCCCCCTTCAGAACACAGAGAGTCAGGTTTAACAGGTTCTATTACACACACCTGGTAAGTGACGTTAAAACCTCTGGCGGCGTTGATCTTGTCAGCGTAGAAGTGAACTCGGAGCTGACCAGACGATGACACCACAGCGACCGGCGCTCTGGAGTCGAAGGCGGTCAACACCCTGAGGAGACGGCGAGGGTTCTCCTCCAGGCCGTCGTATACCTTCACGTAGTCGCCGTAACCCGTACCATCGAGTTTGAAGTCTGTAAACCTCAGGATGACCTGCAGGAAAAGGAAGAAGGACGTTAGGTTCCTTCATGGGGACTTGAAGGACCTGGTCTCTGCCAGGTTCAGGTGTTCAGGCGAGGAGGTCAGACAGTACCTTCCTGTGGTCTCCGGTGTCGATCAGCCAGGTGCAGTTACTTCCTGGGGGGTAAAAGTCTGGGTAGTTTGGAGAGCTGAAGGAACCGTAGAAGTTCCTCAACCATTCTCCACAAGTGGGAACATCACAGTCGATCTCGTCCCCGAGGTCCTGTTCAACAAAAAGAACATCAGACAAGCTGAAACTGTTCCCAGCGGGTTCAGCCTGGTCCACTTCAGCAGAGAGGAGAACCGCTGACCCGGACTGCAGATACTGTCGGAACATGTACTGCTCGCAAGAGATAAGGTGTTTAAACCACTGGTTCTCAAACAGAGGGAGTGGCCCCTAGGGGCCACTGCAGGGGGGGCGTGACAAAAACTGAACCATGAACCACGAGTAGAAACAACAGTCTGCCTCCATGTTTGTTTCTGTCTGAAGTCAAGTCTGATCAGCGTAGTGGTACCAGGCCGTAGCAGGAGCTGCTCGTCTGTCCGGACAGTCCAATTTCCCAGGCTGGGTACCGGTCCCAGGTCCGGTACAGTAACTGTACTTTTCTTTTGTTAAAATAGATTTTAAAAACGCTGAGGCAGACTGGCACGGGCCTGGGAACACCTTGGGATCCTACAGGAAGGACATGTGGACCGCCGTGACCCAGACCTGGGTACGTCAGGTAACAAATCTTTGGGCAGATGAAGCCAATACCTGAACTGAATGACGCTGTGTGTCTGCAGCTGCTTCACTGGAGACTCGCTGTTCTGGTTCAGTATCATCGGGAATACACGGTCCACAACCAACATGCGTACTCGTGTATTTTCTAAACTGTTTTTACATTCGATCGGTAGTAAACCGGATCACGAGCTGCCAGAATAAGTCTGACTGAGTCCCCGAGGATTAGTGCCACTGTGACCGGGTGCTGTCTGGTTCTGGACCGGGTTGTGAACGGGTTTGTTACCTGGCAGTCGATGCTGCCGTCGCAGCGCAGGCTGTGCGGCAGGCAGGTGTAGATCCGGGTGTAGCGGGACAGGCAGGGGAACTGGTTCAGGCTGCAGGGCTGGAAGGAGAACGGCGAGTCCACACACAGCTCCTCGTCCGAGTTGTCCCCGCACTCGTCCATGGAGTTACAGCGCCACCAGTCCGGGACGCACTTCCCATTAGAGCAGTGGAACTGGTCCACGTCGCAGCTGGGCGCCTCTGGCTTACCTACAGGGGATTATTAGGTATGGATTAATCACTGCCAGCCATCGGCCCTGAACCTGATCTGGGTCTTTGTTTAGGCCACTGACCCAGAACTAAGTCACTTCGGTTGGCTCTGTAAACCACTCATGTAACAGCCATAGCAGGAGGCCGGATCCATGTTCTAACTCCACACACCATCACAGTCCTAAATCCTCACCAGCGATGTAGGACAGTCTGAAGCCTTTCCCCGTCAGACTGTCATCCGAGCGGAAGTGGATCCAGACGTGGTCCTGGGAGGAGATGTATGGCGGCGGCAGGGAGGAACCACAGACCCGCAGCCCGTCCAGGTTCCTGTAGCTGCTGATGGACATCCAGTCCGAGGAGCAACGGTGGGAACCTTGGAGGTCAAAGTCCTGGAAGCTACGGGCGGACAGAATGAGGACCCCGTTACCTGTCTGCTGCCTGGTTCTGAACCCTGTTACCTGGTTCCTGAACAGAGTTACCTGGTTCTGAACCCTGTTACCTGGTTCTGAACCCTGTTACCTGGTTCTAAACCCTGTTACCTGGTTCTAAACCCTGTTACCTGGTACTGAACCCTGTTACCTGGTACTGAACCCTGCTACCTGGTACTGAACCCTGTTACCTGGTACTGAACCCTGTTACCTGGTTCTAAACCCTGTTACCTGGTTCCTGAACACAGTTACCTGGTTCTAAACCCTGCTACCTGGTTCTGAACCCTGCTACCTGGTACTGAACCCTGCTACCTGGTACTGAACCCTGTTACCTGGTTCTAAACCCTGTTACCTGGTTCCTGAACACAGTTACCTGGTTCTAAACCCTGTTACCTGGTTCTGAACCCTGCTACCTGGTACTGAACCCTGCTACCTGGTACTGAACCATGTTACCCTGTTACCTGGTTCTAAACCCTGTACCTGGTACTGAACCCTGTTACCTGGTTCTGAAGCCTGTTACCTGGTTCTGAACTGCTTTAGTCCACATGGCTTTTACTGAAACTGTGTCCGCCATCTTGGCCCACTCTCTGTCTGTAATCTCTCAGAATTTGGATTTCTCCCCTCTAACACATCTGACTTGAGTCCAATGATAGTTGTTGTTTCTGCTCCATTTTCAGTGAATGTAAAAGCTCGCGAGATGAGAAAAGTGGGATCGGTTGCTAGGTAACAGACATAAAAGTTGATAAGCGACGTTGGATCGAGTATTTAAGATCTCCTGACCTGAGATAAGACAGGGCTAATACCAAAGTGGGGAAAATCCTGTCTAAGGCTGCGTTCAGACTGCAGGCCAAAGTGACCCAAGCCCGATTTTTTTGCCCATATGTGACTCAGATCTGATCTCTTTATGACAGCGTGAACAGGCCAAGTCACATGTCTGATTCTGGACACTCAGGTCGCATTTGATGCGACTTTGACGTCACTGTAGAGCAGCAGTTCTGCTGTAGATGGAGCCGCGCTGAACAAAAGCCTTTATTAAACATGCTCTTCCTCCTCTACCTCGCTGTCATTTGCTCACAGATTCCCTCTCTTACAGCAGAAATCCAGCAGACCGCCGGCTCTCTGCTGAGCTACGTGCATGCTGCCTGTCCGAGCGGACACAGTGGGGAGACGGAGGAAGGCAGCTGTGGGGCAGTTGTGTTGTACAGCACCAGAAGCCGTAAAGAAAAGAACAGAAAGTTGTGAACACTTGAAAGAAATGTGACCCGTGAGAGGACAGTGAAAAACGGGAGTCTCCTGTGAGTTAACCTCTGTGGCTCTTTGTTTACTTCTGCAGCCTGCATAGCTGCTGCTGCGTGTGACGTCGTGTTCTTCTTCTGCGCGTGGGGGTCACTTTCAGGCCGCAGACAGTTCACAACTGTCAAACAAAAAAAATCGGATCTGGGAAAGAAATCATAATTGAGCATTAAGGCCTGCAGTCTGAGCGCAGCCTCTTTGTTTTAACTTCAGACTGCAGAGCGGAACTTTCTGTGAGACGGACCCTGGTTCTTCAGCGAACTCTGATACTGAACACTCTGAAATGGTACCAGTCCTATTCATGTCTCGCACTGATTCTTGAGAATTTGGATAAAACAGGTTTTAATTTTCGAAAGAAATAAAATATAATATTAATAAGAAATATAAATGTATGTGTTTATTGTACAAGATCTCACCAATCTAGCAATATTTTGGTGCAACCTCCTGATTTTGTAATTTTTTCATAAAATATGTGTTTTGCTTGTCTTGTCTTTTCTTTACTTTGTCAACACCGTCGGACACAATAAAAATCTTATTTAGTCAGTCTTATAATGACTTAGAGCTTTAAAATCATTGCGTCTACACCATAGGTACATATATATGTTATTAAATGTTGTTCATTTTTTGTACTATTTCACATGTGCTCTTTTAAAAACTTATACATTATGCAACATTCATCATTAGCATTAAGTATACAGAATCACAATTTGGGGCATAAAAACTACATTTTTAATTTCAAAGTTACCATGAATTTCATAAATCAACTGCATTGTAGGAACAGATTCTAACCATATACATTTAAAACAAAGAAAGACCCATCTGGTCCTTTTCTTTTGAGAAGAATTGTATGTCAGCCCAAACTGTTTTGTCTGGTGTATTAGGAGAGATTTCTTAAGAAGAATTTCTATTGTTATACATTGGGGATACATAAAGTAAGAAAAAACTGTAGAAGTGCAGTATTTGTTGAAGAAACAAAAGGGAAATTATGTATATTATAAATAGATGTATGTTTTCCCTCTGGCCTCTACAGAAAATGCATGCGTTTCTAATTTAAAATAATCCTTTCTGTACAAAAGAGACGCTGTTGACACATTTTGGTTGTGACATTAGCAACATCACTAAATATGTCAACAAAACATATTTAAAATATAGCAAATTACAGGAGCTTGTTCGACCGTTGCATTTAGGAAATGTGGAGGGTCCTCGGGAATATAGCTGACCGTGTAGCTGCCTGATTTTATTGCTCTTTCATCAATATGTGACGGTGGTGACAGATTTTGAGCAATGAAAAACTAATGCTGTTGAAAATTCACTGCTTCTAAGTTTAAAGAGTCTGTTCACTCTACTCTTTCATCGGGCCGATATAATATACATGTAAAATGATTTTTTCCTCCTTTTTATCAAATTGAAATCTCTTGTCTGAGGACGGTGGATTTTGTGGGTTCTGGGCTGTCACACAATTTAAAACAAGTAGATGAAAATAAACTAAATTTGTGCAGTTAGTGGGACATGTTTTTGCCAAAAAGAATCGGTGCTCTATAAGGACCAGGTGTTGATAAGGAGGATCTGCATACTGGATCAGACTGATGTGGAACGTGGTCTGAGGACTCTGGATCAGACCGATGTGGTGTAACCATGTAACCGGCGTTACCTGATGGTGATGGCGTCCCCGGGCCGAGCCCTGATGTTCCAGCTGCAGTTCAGTCTGGCCGGGTACTGGAAGGGCCATCCGGGGCTGGTGATCACGCCGCTGGACGCCCGCAGGAGCTCCGCCACCTCGCCACAGGCTAGGGGGGGCAGAGAGTTAGATTCACCCTGAGACGTTTGAGTCTGACGTGACATCATCGTGGTTGTGAACTCACCGTTAGAAATCCCCGACACGTAGACGTTGTCGTTGCTCTGAGACGCAGCGATGCATCCTGGGAAACACACAGACACCGTTAACAGGAAGCGGCTAGCATTAGCATGAGGCTGCTAAGCAGCTAGCATTAGCATCGCTGTTCCAGCCTCAGTCACCAACATCTTCCTACGTTTGTTCTTTAGCTGCAGCTGTTCTCAGAACGCCTCAGTGAAAGCGGCTTCTTCCTGTTCTGCAGCGACGGCCCGTTAATCCCCATCAGAGAGGGCAGAAACGCAGGAACAGACTTCGCCTTGTTTGCTGACGGACCTGATGTCGTTATTTCAGTTTGATCGTTTGTTGAAACTAAGTCACAGCTAAATGTTTATCACTTTTATGTTTAGTAATTGCGGGTTGTGATTATTTGAGCTGAGTGTGCGCAGAACAAATCTAAAATAAGGAAACACTGCTGAATGGCAGAATCAGGACGACGTCATCGACACCTTCGTGGTTTAATCAGAGTAATCTGAACATCTGCACGCTAACAGCACATCGAACATCTGGCTCCTGATGAAACATCTGCTGCAAAACAGAAAATAACACTGATGGCCACCTTTGTTTGGAGGAAGCACGTTTCTGTCCAGATGTTGGACAGGAAATGATGTGAGACCACCTGCTGGGGTTGTGTGGGTGTGAAGGACTAACAGGATCAGGTCCTACAGCTGATCCTGAGTCCTGAACTCACCTGACAGGATAAGCAGGTAGAGGAAAGGTTTGCAGCGGCTCTGCCTGCAGCCTGGTCTGAGGGCCATACTGACCCAGCTAGGTCCTGATGATGATGAAGACGAGTCCAAGGTCACTAAACAGCTGGAGGAGCCGCCAGCTGCATGTCGGGAAACAGCTGGCAGGTCCCACAAAGAAGCTCTGCTGCCGAGTTACCTGTTAGCTTAGCATCAGCTACAGTCCAACGGTAAAACATTAAAAACAAAACAGGCTGGTGTGTCTGTGCGGGATCTACCTGCTAACGGAGCTAACAGAGCTAACCTCACACCGTAAACCCGCTCCGGACCGAAACAAAGGCATCAGACCCCCGTTAGCTCCAGCTAACAGCTAACGTTAGCTTAAACTAGCTGTTAGCTTAAAGAACCGAATCATTAAACAGACATTTAGCCACATTAGCAGCCTGTCTGAAACATAACACAAGCGAACAGCTCAGCTAACACGACAACACAAAGACAAGCTAGCTATCTCTATATTAAACAGAAGCTAACAGCTAACGTTAATAACACTGGCCGGTTAGCTGGAACATGCTAACGGAGCTAAGTGGCTAGCAAGCCCGTCCTCTACAACGAGGACATAAATCCCGGAGCGTTACCGCTAACCCGGGTTAATTACAGGTAACCCGAGATAACTACCATCGCCAGGTGAAAGGTCAGCAGCGCGAGCGTCGCTCAGTCTGAAGGCATCTTCAGGTAGTGTTAGCTGCTAGCGGCTAGCTGTTACCGAGCTGAACAACAACAGTCCGCAGCTGAGTGTGGAGGAGGTAAGCCCCGCCCCCCGTATGTGAGGGAGGTAAGCCCCGCCCCCTTATGTGACGTAAATAATCCATCTCACAACACTGAGCTTTGTTTACAATTTACATTTACTCATTCAGCAGGAACATCAGTCCAGGTACAGGGAGAGATCCACAAGCACGAGTCCAGATCAGTACAGGGAGAGATCAGGTTTATAATGACTCATCTACACCAGACTTGGGGACCTTATCTGGCACGACTTCCTGAGGAGCTGTATGAAATTTGCTGTCAATCGGCCTCTAGGTGGCGCTATTAATCATATATGAAATAACACTCCCATAGACATACATTCATTTTATATCTCAGTAATCGCAAGTCGCTTTAATTTCAAACTCTGATTGTTTATTCGCCACAGGCCCCCGGAGCCGCGGCAGGGCGCCCGGGTCGAGTCGCGCGGCAGGCACCGGGGGGCTTGGAACTTGGACTTTGAACCACAAACTAAGCTGACCTGTAGAAGGTGGAGCAGAGAGGTGCGGCTCCTGGAGCAGCTTGGATGAAGTCCTCGGGGGCCTCAGTGAAGCTTTAGTGGAATAAATTACCTCCCAAATGTTTTACACAGGTTTGACTCCTGTTTTTAAAGCACCACAGATCTCTGTTCTCATAACGACGTTACCCTCAGCCATCTGAACACCTGATCTGTGTGCGGACTCGCCGCCATCGTGCTGAGCGCCGTCCTCAGCAGGAAGTCCTCCACAGTGATTCACCTTCCTAAGATCAGAAAACCAGGCGGCTAAAAGATTTTTAACATCAGTAATTATCTTTGTTCGTGGTCACATGTGACCAGATCTGTTTTCCCGTCTGGGCGCGTGCAGAACAGTGACATCAGCACTGTGACATCACTACACACAGATGTTCATTTCAAAAATATTTAATTCAGATGAAATACAAATCACTCAGTTTGACAGCACGTTCGTGGTTACACCACCATCCTGCTGCAGGGGAGCTGAAATGGTTACGACGATGATGATGCGTTTCCTGTGTACGTTAGCAGGAAGTGGTCGAGGCTGAAGACCCGCCCCCAGCCGACGGCAGCGTCCATACTGATGAAGTCATCCAGGTTCATCCGACTCTCTGAGGAGGAAACACATCACAGTGGTGTCATCGTGAGGTCACGTGGTTAATACCGTCAGACATATTGACATCGTGTGAGTCGAGGTGTCATGTGACCTGCGGTGTGTATGGGGGGGTAAGGTGGGGGGGGCATCCTCCACGATCCATCAGGGTTCTTCATGTGAGATCGATCGGATGCAAACTTCAACAGGAAGCTGTCAGCAGGGACGACACGCAACTTCCTGTAAGACCAGAGACGCAGGTACACTTTACTGTGATGTCACTTCCTCTATAAACACTCGGTTTTAAGGTCTTACTTCCCCTGAGGTGTTCAGGTGTGTTCAGGTGTGTGTTCCCTGAGGTGTTCAGGTGTGTGTTCCCTGAGGTGTTCAGGTGTGTGTTCCCTGAGGTGTTCAGGTGTGTGTTCCCTGAGGTGTTCAGGTGTGTGTTCCCTGAGGTGTTCAGGTGTGTGTTCCCTGAGGTGTTCAGGTGTGTGTTCCCTGAGGTGTTCAGGTGTGTGTTCCCTGAGGTGTTCAGGTGTGTGTTCCCTGAGGTGTTCAGGTGTGTGTTCCCTGAGGTGTTCAGGTGTGTGTTCCCTGAGGTGTTCAGGTGTGTGTTCCCTGAGGTGTTCAGGTGTGTGTTCCCTGAGGTGTTCAGGTGTGTGTTCCCTGAGGTGTTCAGGTGTGTGTTCCCTGAGGTGTTCAGGTGTGTGTTCCCTGAGGTGTTCAGGTGTGTGTTCCCTGAGGTGTTCAGGTGTGTGTTCCCTGAGGTGTTCAGGTGTGTTCCCTGAGGTGTTCAGGTGTGTTCCCTGAGGTGTTCAGGTGTGTTCAGGTGTGTTCAGGTGTGTTCAGGTGTGTTACCTGTGGTACGCAGGTTTTATGTTGCTGTCTGAGCGGAGGGACTGGGCGGCGTACAGCTGCAGGCTGCAGGGAAACGGCAGCTCGGAGTCCAGATCATAAACCAGAGGGTCCACCCGAGGACCGGCCTGCAGCAGAACCACATGGTAGTCCTGAAACACACAATGACATCATTAATGACATCATTATTATGATGAGTGGTCTGTGACATCACAGTTATTATCCAGCAGGAACGTTACAGACCCAGATCACTGGCTGGTCTCCACGTCCGGACTTCTGCTTCCACAGAGGAACCTGATGGAGAACAAAAAGAGAACGTCTCTGAACATCAGAACCAGACAGATGTTTTACAGAACCTGAGAGATGTTTTACATATTCTGACTTATTTTTTACAGAACCTGACAGATGTTTTATAGAACCTGACAGATGGTTTACAGAACCTGACAGATGTTTTGGACACGTCTATAGAACATGTCACATATGTTCTACCACACTCCTGTGTTTTCTCACCATTCTGTTCTCATTAGAGATGAAAACCACAAACAGTTCTTCCAGCGGTGCAGTTCTCTCAGCCCGGACCAACGCGCAGAGTTTCCAAACATTTTCTTCACTGATGAATAAGAGCAGATGGCAGAACCACAAACAGTCAGACATCACAGGTGTTCCTCTAGAACAACATCATCATTATAACTGACATGAGGAATGATTTATGGTACTCTTATTAGTACAGTGGGGGAAATAAGTATTTGACCCCTTGCTGATTTTGCAGGTTTGCCCACTTACAAAGAATGCAACGATCTACAATTTTAATCATATGTACATTCTAACAGTGAAAGACAGAATCCCAAAGAAAATTCCAGAAAATCACATCATATGAATTTATAAAAATTGATAACCATCTGATGAGGAAAAACAAGTATTTGACCCCCTGGACAAACAGCATGTTAATATTTTGTAGAAAAGCCATTATTGGCCAGCACAGATGTCAAACGGTTTTTATAGTTGGTGACAAGGTTTGTGCACATTTCGGCAGGGATGTTGGCCCACTCCTCCCTGCAGACAGCCTCCAAATCATTCAGGTTCCGAGGTTGTCGCCTGGCAACTCGAATTTTAAGCTCCCTCCAAAGATTTTCAATTGGATTCAAGTCTGGAGACTGGCTAGGCCACTCCAGAACCTTGATGTGCTTCTTCTTCAGCCACTCTTTTGTTGCTTTGGCGGTGTGCTTAGGGCCGTTGTCGTGCTGAAACACCCATCCTCGACCCATCTTCAGCTCTCTCACTGAGGGAAGGAGATGTTGGTCCAGAATTCCACGATACATGGCCCCGTCCATCCTCCCCTCAATACGATGGAGTTGTCCCGTCCCCTTGGCTGAAAAGCACCCCCAAAGCATGATGTTGCCACCACCATGCTTGACGGTGGGGATGGTGTTCTTTGGGTTGTACTCGGTGTTCTTTGCCCTCCAAACACGACAAGTTCAGGCCAAAAAGTTCTATTTTGGTCTCATCTGACCACATCACCTTCTTCCAGGCCTCTTCTGAGTCGTCCAGGTGGTGAATGGCGAACTTCATGCGGGCCTGTACATGTTTCTTCTTGAGCAGGGGGACCTTGCGTGCGCTGCAGGATTTCAATCCATGACGGCGTAGTGTGTTACCAACCGTTTCTTTTGTAACTGTGGTCCCAGCTGCCTTCAGTTGATTCATCAGTTCCCCCCTTGTGGTTTTGGGATGATTCCTCACCGTTCGCATGATCAGGGACACCCCACGAGGCGAGATCTTGTGTGGAGGCCCAGACCGAGGGAGGTTGGCGGTGGTGTGGTGCTTCTTCCATTTCCTGATAACTGCACCGACAGTTGATCTTTTCTCTCCGAGTTGCTTTCCGATTCTCTTGTAGCCCATCCCAGCCTTGTGCAGATCAACAATCTTGTCCCTGATGTCCGTAGAAAGCTCTTTGGTCTTGCCCATGGTGCTGATGTTGGATGCTGGTTGTTTGGGTGTTGACAGGTGTCTTTTATACAGGTAACGAGGTGAGGCAGGTGTATTTGATGTAGATAATTGGTTGGGATTGGGGCTGTGTCTTAAAGAAAGACTAACTGGCTTGTAGGAGCCAGAATACTTGCTGTTTGTCCAGGGGGTCAAATACTTGTTTTTCCTCATCAGATGGTTATCAATTTTTATAAATTCATATGATGTGATTTTCTGGAATTTTCTTTGGGATTCTGTCTTTCACTGTTAGAATGTACATATGATTAAAATTGTAGATTGTTGCATTCTTTGTAAGTGGGCAAACCTGCAAAATCAGCAAGGGGTCAAATACTTATTTCCCCCACTGTAGTAGTACTCGTAGTAGTATATTAGTATTTTATTTACTGTTTCTGTATTTCCTGGATCTGATCTTTTTTTTGTAGTTTTAAACATTTGACTCTTATTTATCAGCACTTTCATATGTTTTTTTTGTTCTTTTGATCAAAGTACTATTTATAACAGTAGAACATGTTCTTGGCGAGGTCTCGTGACAGATGTTAGGGATCCTCTTTGTTTATGTTACTTCAGAAAATAAAAAAGTGAGATGAAGTGGTTGGAGGTTGCTGACGTACTGCGGTAAGCGTGTCGACTCATTTCTGTTTCCGGTGCTTGTGTGTTGGTACCGTGTTGTGTTGCTCTCGCTGAATACCAGTTACGTTTGTTTGATTACAGCAGCCAACTGTTCGCTAAACACTTACTGTTTACAGTAATTTTGCCTAAGCACTCACAGTTCTTTCCATCTTTTAGTGACTGCTGTTCAATCTCATAGTTGTTCTAAAGTTTTGGTAGCTGACGCTACAGTACTTTAGCTTAGCCGTTAGCGACATTAGCTTAGCAGCTAGCGATGGCTTCTCCTTCTCCCTCTCTCTCTCCTACTTTCTCCTGCTCGGTGTGTCAGATGTTCAGTTACTCCTCTGCCTCCTTTAGCGTTAATGGTACGTGTAATAAGTGTAGTTTATTTATAGACATGGAGGCGAGGCTCAGTGAGTTAGAAGTCCGGCTCCGCACCTTGGTAGATCAGTCTTTAGCTACTGTAGCTAGCCAGTCCCCGGTAGTCGGTGCGGAACGGCCTGAGTTAGCCTCTGGTAGCCGTCCTCCGGCATCTCCTGTGCAGCCAGGAAGGGGAGGCTGGGTGTGCATAAAAACCTCATAAAAATTAAAACCACAAGAGCAATAGTGCAAACGAATAGGAGAGTTAAATGTGGACTCTTAAACATCAGATCTCTCTCTTCTAAAGGTGTACTAGTAAATGAACTAATATCAGATTATGATATTGATTTATTTGGTCTTACTGAAACCTGGCTGGGTGATGGAGAATATGTTAGCCTAAATGAATCCACCCCTCCCAGTCATATTAATACTCACATTCCTCGAGGCACAGGCCGAGGAGGTGGAGTTGCAGCTATCTTTGACTCTAGCCTACTAATCAGCTCTAAACCTAAACTAAACTATAACTCATTTGAAAGTCTTGTTCTTAGTCTTTCGCACCCAAGTTGGAAATCACTGCAACCAATTCTTTTTGTTATAGTGTACCGAGCACCTGGTCCATACTCTGAATTCTTATCTGAATTTGCTGAGTTTTTGTCAACTTTAGTCCTTAAAACGGACAAAGTTATTATTGTAGGAGATTTTAATATTCATGTGGACGTTGAGAATGACAGCTTCAGTACTGCGTTTATCTCTCTGTTAGATTCCATCGGCTTCTCTCAGTGTTCATGTACCTCAGAGTACATGTTGCAGTACCACAGAGTACATGTTGTGTTGCAGTACCACAGAGTACATGTTGCAGTACCACAGAGTACATGTTGTGTTGCAGTACCACAGAGTACATGTTGCAGTACCACAGAGTACATGTTGTGTTGCAGTACCTCAGAGTACATGTTGCAGTACCACAGAGTACATGTTGTGTTGCAGTACCACAGAGTACATGTTGCAGTACCACAGAGTACATGTTGTGTTGCAGTACCACAGAGTACATGTTGCAGTACCTCAGAGTACATGTTGTGTTGCAGTACCACAGAGTACATGTTGTGTTGCAGTACCAGAGAGTACATGTTGTGTTGCAGTACCACAGAGTACATGTTGTGTTGCAGTACCACAGAGTACATGTTGTGTTGCAGTACCTCAGAGTACATGTTGTGTTGCAGTACCACAGAGTACATGTTGCAGTACCTCAGAGTACATGTTGCAGTACCACAGAGTACATGTGGCAGTACCACAGAGTACATGTTGTGTTGCAGTACCTCAGAGTACATGTTGCAGTACCACAGAGTACATGTGGCAGTACCACAGAGTACATGTTGTGTTGCAGTACCTCAGAGTACATGTTGCAGTACCACAGAGTACATGTGGCAGTACCACAGAGTACATGTTGTGTTGCAGTACCTCAGAGTACATGTTGCAGTACCACAGAGTACATGTTGTGTTGCAGTACCACAGAGTACATGTTGCAGTACCACAGAGTACATGTTGTGTTGCAGTACCACAGAGTACATGTTGCAGTACCACAGAGTACATGTTGTGTTGCAGTACCACTGAGTACATGTTGCAGTACCACAGAGTACATGTTGCAGTACCACAGAGTACATGTTGCAGTACCACAGAGTACATGTTGTGTTGCAGTACCTCAGAGTACATGTTGCAGTACCACAGAGTACATGTTGTGTTGCAGTACCACAGAGTACATGTTGTGTTGCAGTACCTCAGAGTACATGTTGCAGTACCACAGAGTACATGTTGCAGTACCACAGAGTACATGTTGTGTTGCAGTACCACAGAGTACATGTTGCAGTACCACAGAGTACATGTTGTGTTGCAGTACCACAGAGTACATGTTGCAGTACCACTGAGTACATGTTGCAGTACCACAGAGTACATGTTGTGTTGCAGTACCACAGAGTACATGTTGCAGTACCACAGAGTACATGTGGCAGTACCACAGAGTACATGTTGCAGTACCACAGAGTACATGTTGTGTTGAAGTACCTCAGAGTACATGTTGCAGTACCACAGAGTACATGTTGTGTTGCAGTACCACAGAGTACATGTTGCAGTACCACAGAGTACATGTTGTGTTGCAGTACCACAGAGTACATGTTGTGTTGCAGTACCACAGAGTACATGTTGCAGTACCACAGAGTACATGTTGTGTTGCAGTACCACAGAGTACATGTTGTGTTGCAGTACCACAGAGTACATGTTGTGTTGCAGTACCACAGAGTACATGTTGTGTTGCAGTACCACAGAGTACATGTTGCAGTACCACAGAGTACATGTTGCAGTACCACAGAGTACATGTTGTGTTGCAGTGCTTTTATTGTGTGTATTTTATGATATTAATGTTTTTGTTGTGAAGCACTTTGTGGCCCTATACCTGTGAAAGGTGCTATAGAAATAAACTTTTACTTACTTACTTTTTACTTACTTAGTACCACAGAGTACATGTTGCAGTACCACAGAGTACATGTTGTGTTGCAGTACCACAGAGTACATGTTGCAGTACCACAGAGTACATGTTGCAGTACCTCAGAGTACATGTTGTGTTGCAGTACCTCAGAGTACATGTTGCAGTACCACAGAGTACATGTTGTGTTGCAGTACCACAGAGTACATGTTGTGTTGCAGTACCACAGAGTACATGTTGTGTTGCAGTACCTCAGAGTACATGTTGCAGTACCACAGAGTACATGTTGTGTTGCAGTACCACAGAGTACATGTTGCAGTACCACAGAGTACATGTTGCAGTACCACAGAGTACATGTTGCAGTACCTCAGAGTACATGTTGTGTTGCAGTACCACAGAGTACATGTTGTGTTGCAGTACCACAGAGTACATGTTGCAGTACCTCAGAGTACATGTTGTGTTGCAGTACCTCAGAGTACATGTTGCAGTACCACAGAGTACATGTTGTGTTGCAGTACCTCAGAGTACATGTTGCAGTACCACAGAGTACATGTTGTGTTGCAGTACCACAGAGTACATGTTGCAGTACCACAGAGTACATGTTGTGTTGCAGTACCTCAGAGTACATGTTGTGTTGCAGTACCACAGAGTACATGTTGCAGTACCACAGAGTACATGTTGTGTTGCAGTACCACAGAGTACATGTTGCAGTACCACAGAGTACATGTTGTGTTGCAGTACCTCAGAGTACATGTTGTGTTGCAGTACCACAGAGTACATGTTGTGTTGCAGTACCACAGAGTACATGTTGCAGTACCACAGAGTACATGTTGTGTTGCAGTACCTCAGAGTACATGTTGTGTTGCAGTACCTCAGAGTACATGTTGTGTTGCAGTACCACAGAGTACATGTTGCAGTACCATAGAGTACATGTTGTGTTGCAGTACCTCAGAGTACATGTTGTGTTGCAGTACCACAGAGTACATGTTGCAGTACCACAGAGTACATGTTGTGTTGCAGTACCTCAGAGTACATGTTGTGTTGCAGTACCACAGAGTACATGTTGCAGTACCTCAGAGTACATGTTGTGTTGCAGTACCTCAGAGTACATGTTGTGTTGCAGTACCTCAGAGTACATGTTGCAGTACCTCAGAGTACATGTTGTGTTGCAGTACCTCAGAGTACATGTTGTGTTGCAGTACCTCAGAGTACATGTTGTGTTGCAGTACCTCAGAGTACATGTTGCAGTACCACAGAGTACATGTTGCAGTACCACAGAGTACATGTTGTGTTGCAGTACCTCAGAGTACATGTTGCAGTACCTCAGAGTACATGTTGTGTTGCAGTACCTCAGAGTACATGTTGTGTTGCAGTACCTCAGAGTACATGTTGCAGTACTCACCAGTAGCAGCTGGTATACACGCAGTCCTCGCGGCTCGGTGTGATTCTGACTTCACTCGTCATGTTGAAACGTCACACTGACGACGCTCCACCGGAAACAATATCCGCCATAGCGCCAGCACACCTTTCAAATTAAAAGGCTACTTTGCCCGGCAGCGCCTCCTGCGCTTCAGCTGATCACGTGGTTCGGTCGGTTCGGTCCCTGACGTGAAGCTGCTTAAGTCAGACGAACCAAAACCGGAAGTGTGCCACTCAAAATGGCGTCACTGTTAGAATCGACCTTTTACTTTGAAGGCGGTGACACCAGGATGTAACGTGGATATAAAACACAGACTGTCCGGAGATCCCGCTGACGTCAGCCTGACTCGGTTACCATGGTGACTGAGCGCGTGCAGGGGAACGTGGTCTGATGAAGTGTCCGGTTTCAAGATGAATCCGGATCAGTCTGTGAAAGAAAAGGTGACCTACCCGGACCGTAGATCTGTAAAGGTGCAGCTTCAGATTAGTGAAAGGCTGAACTGAAAGTGAGCTGATGGTTAATTTATCTGCAGCAGAGGGGCCTGGGGGGCCGGGGGGCCTGGGGGCCTGGGGCTGGGCTCCTGTCCCTCAGCGGCCTGACGTTACTCAGGCCTTAGATAAAACAGGAACATAAAAGGCCCATCGTCTCAGGACAGAAGATATTAGAGGTAGTTTCAAACAGCCTGTGGCGGTTTTGGGGTGGGGGGCCAACAGGGGCCCCTGTAACACAGACCTTGGACCCCCCTATGGCCCCCCCACTGAACAAAAAGTCTACAGCATCCCCCTAGAATTGAAGTCCAGAACAGTTCTGGACTTTAGCTTATTGGATAATAACTAAAATGAACTGGAGAATCTGCTGGTTTCTGTTACAAAACTTTATTCTCATCGTTAGATTAACGAACGTCCACGAGCCGGAGACAAGACTCCAAGATCCTTCATGTGGAACAAGACAGAAATCCCTGTTCCATCATACACAGGAACCAGAACCAGTAAAGGGGGACAGAGGAGGACCTGAACACCGGATACACACACGCACACACACACACACAGGAACCAGAACCAGTAAAGGGGGCAGAGGAGGACCTGAACACCGGATACACACACACACACACACACACACACACACACACAGGAACCAGAACCAGTAAAGGGGACAGAGGAGGACCTGAACACCGGATACACACACGCACACACACACACAGGAACCAGAACCAGTAAAGGGGGCAGAGGAGGACCTGAACACCGGATACACACACACACAGGAACCAGAACCAGTAAAGGGGACAGAGGAGGACCTGAACACCGGATACACACACGCACACACACACACACACACACACACACACACACAGGAACCAGAACCAGTAAAGGGGGACAGAGGAGGACCTGAACACCTGATACACACACACACACACGAACCAGAACCAGTAAAGGGGGACAGAGGAGGACCTGAACACCGGATACACACACGAACCAGAACCAGTAAAGGGGGACAGAGGAGGACTGACAGAACCTGGATCCTGCTGCAGATCAGTGAGTTGGCAGCTTCACATTCAGTCAGAACCAATCGGGTCGTCTCTGACCGGTTCTGCCCCCCCAGGGGGGGCAGGCTGGTCACCTGGGTCACCATGGTAACAACAATCAAACAAATAAACGGGTTAAAAAGTTCAGTTTAATGAAACAAAGACAGAAAGGTCACAGAGGTCAAAGGTCAAACTGCGCAGCTTCTCCTCGCTGTCATGGAAACAGCAGCATGCGGCGGTCTGGTTGCCGGGCCGGGCGCTAGGTGAAGAGTCGGATGGTGGCGTCGGCGCCAGAGGAGAAGATCCACGGCTGCGTGGGGTGAAAGGTCACGTCCAGGACGCCGAGGTCATGAGTGATCAGGTGACCTCTGAGGACCTTCACCGGGACGAGGAGCGGGTTCTGCAGAAGGTCACTGTGGGGGGGGGGGGGCACAGGGTCAGCATGTAGTACTCTGTAGTACTGTGTATAGTACTGTGTGTATTACTGTGTGTTGTACTGCGTATATTACTTGTACACAGTCCCGTGACAGACGATGACCGAGCCGTCGTCGGATGCCGAGGCGAACAGCGGGTAAAGTCTGTGATAGGCCACGCCCCTCACCGCCTTCTTATGGTGTCTGCAGACAGGAAGCGACCAGCACGGTAAATAAGAGATCAATATTCACACGGCTCTGGCTGATCACAGGTGTGCGTTTGACTGACAGGTACGTACCGTAACATCTTGTAAGGTTTGGTTGAGAGATCGAGGTCGAACCAGCTCAGCCTGCAGTCGTAGCTCCCACAGATCACATGATCACCTGCAGACAGAGACAGCGGTGAGAAAGAAGCTCCGGCCCTCAGTGATTTCACCTGATTATACATATAATCTGCGCTCAGTCTGGTGTTGTGGTGAGTCTGGTTACCCCCGGGGTGGACGGCCATGCTGGAGATCCACTTGGAGTTGGCCTGTAGTTTTTTGGTCATTTCCTGTTTCACCAGGTTGTAGATCCGGACGGAGCGCTGCGTCGCCAGGAAGAAGTAGGGTCTGATGGGGTGGAAGGCTACGGACTGAACCAGACCTTTGTTCTTCCTGAAGGGGTTCTGGCTTCGCCTCCGGCTCACCTGGTGGATAAGAACCTGCAGGTGGCTCGAGTGATCCGGCATCACTGACGCCAGGTAGTCTCCTTTCGCGTGCCATGCCACCTGCTGGATGCCCTGCGGAGATCAATGCTGATCAGTTAGTTCAGTTCAGTTCCTGACCAGGTCTCTTTCATCAAACATGTGGGTCTCTCACTTTGGGATGTTGTATTTTGAGGCGGATCCCCTGGTTAAGCTCCTCCCCCTCCGTGTCAGTCCAGGTGACAGGCCCCGCCTCTTCCGAAGGCTCCTGCTGACCCGACAGGAGTCGCTCTGACGAAGAGACGACCTGTCTGTCTGCCAGAGAGGGAGACAGGATCAATACGACCGAGTCCCTGAAACAAAGACAGACGGGTCATCAGAGAGAGACAGACGGGTCATCAGAGACAGACAGACGGGTCATCAGAGACAGACAGACGGGTCCTTACAGGGCAGCAGCCAGCAGACAGACAGACGGGTTTGGGTTCCAGGCGACACTCTTCACAGCTCCGCCCACCTGGACTGTCTTCATACAGCGAGACGTACGCACCTCCCAGAACCTCACGGAGCCATCGTCACTGCCTGCACACACACACACACACAAACACCCCCCTGTGTCACTGCCTGCACACACACACACACACAAACACCCCCCTGTGTCACTGCCTGCACACACACACCCACCCCCCGTGTCACTGCCTACACACACACACCCACCCCCCGTGTCACTGCCTACACACACACACACACCCCCCCCCCGTGTCACTGCCTACACCCCCCCCCCCCGTGTCACTGCCTACACACACACACCCCCCCCCGTGTCACTGCCTACACACCCCCCGTGTCACTGCCTACACACCCCCCCCCGTGTCACTGCCTACACACCCCCCGTGTCACTGCCTACACACCCCCCCCGTGTCACTGCCTACACACACCCCCCCCCCCGTGTCACTGCACACACACACACACCACACACACACACCCCCCTCTGTGTCACTGCACACACACACACCCACCCCCTCTGTGTCACTGCACACACACACACCCCCCACCCCTCTGTGTCACTGCACACACACACACACACACCCCTCTGTGTCACTGCACACACACACACACACACCCCTCTGTGTCACTGCACACACACACACCCCTCTGTGTCACTGCACACACACACACACACCCATACACACCTGTGTCACTGCACACACACACACCACCCCTACACCTGTGTCACTGCACACACACACACACACCCCCTCTGTGTCACTGCACACACACACACACACACCCCTCTGTGTCACTGCACACACACACACACACACCCCTCTGTTCACTGCACACACACACACACACACACCCCCTGTGTCACTGCACACACACACACACACACACACCCCTGTGTCACTGCACACACACACACACACACACACCCCTCTGTGTCACTGCACACACACACACACACACACACCCCTCTGTGTCACTGCACACACCCACACACACACACACCCCCTCTGTGTCACTGCACACACCCACACACACACACACCCCTCTGTGTCACTGCACACACCCACACACACACACACACCCCTCTGTGTCACTGCACACACCCACACCACACACACCCCTCTGTGTCACTGCACACACCCACACACACACACACCCCTCTGTGTCACTGCACACACCCACACACACACACCCCCTCTGTGTCACTGCACACACCCACACACACACCCTCTGTGTCACTGCACACACCCACACACACACCCCTCTGTGTCACTGCACACACCCACACACACACCCCTCTGTGTCACTGCACACACCCACACACACACCCCTGTGTCACTGCACACACCCACACCCCTGTGTCACTGCACACACACCCCACACACCCCTGTGTCACTGCACACACACCCACACACCCCTGTGTCACTGCACACACACACACCCACACACCCCTGTGTCACTGCACACACACACACCCACACACCCCTGTGTCACTGCACACACACACACCCACACACCCCTGTGTCACTGCACACACACACACACACACACCCCTGTGTCACTGCACACACACACACACACACACCCACACACACCCCTCTGTGTCACTGCGCGCACACACACACACACCCCTCTGTGTCACTGCGCACACACACACACACACCCCTCTGTGTCACTGCGCACACACACACACACACCCCTGTGTCACTGCACACACACACCCCTCTGTGTCACTGCCTGCACACACACACACACCCCTGTGTCACTGCACACACACACACACCCCCTGTGTCACTGCACACACCCACACCACACACACACCCCCCTCTGTGTCACTGCACACACCCACACCCCCCTCTGTGTCACTGCACACACCCACACCCCCTCTGTGTCACTGACACACCCACACCCCCCTGTGTCACTGCACACACCCACCACACCCACACCCCCCTGTGTCACTGCACACACACACACACCCCACACCCCTCTGTGTCACTGCCTGCACACACACCCCTCTGTGTCACTGCCTGCACACAAACCCCTCTGTGTCACTGCCTGCACACACACACACACACACCCCTCTGTGTCACTGCCTGCACACACACACCCCTCTGTGTCACTGCCTGCACACACACACACACACCCCCCTCTGTGTCACTGCCTGCACACACACACAAACACACACACACACACACACACACCCCCGTGTCACTGCCTGCACATACACACACACCCCTGTGTCACTGCACACACACACACACCCCTCTGTGTCACTGCCTGCACACACACACACAAACACACACCCGTGTCACTGCCTGCACACACACACACACACACCCCTCTGTGTCACTGCCTGCACACACACACACACACACCCCTCTGTGTCACTGCCTGCACACACACCCCTCTGTGTCACTGCCTGCACACACACCCCTCTGTGTCACTGCCTGCACACACACCCCTCTGTGTCACTGCACACACACACCCCTCTGTGTCACTGCACACACACACCCCTCTGTGTCACTGCACACACACACCCCTCTGTGTCACTGCACACACACACCCCTCTGTGTCACTGCACACACCCACACACACACCCCTGTGTCACTGCACACACACACACACACACCCCTGTGTCACTGCACACACACACACACACCCCTGTGTCACTGCACACACACACACACACACCCCTGTGTCACTGCACACACACACACACACACCCCTGTGTCACTGCACACACACACACACACACCCCTGTGTCACTGCACACACACACACACACACACCCCTGTGTCACTGCACACACACACACACACCCCTGTGTCACTGCACACACACACACACACCCCTGTGTCACTGCACACACACACACACACCCCCCTCTGTGTCACTGCACACACACACACACACACACACCCTCTGTGTCACTGCACACACACACACACACACACCCCTCTGTGTCACTGCACACACACACACACACACACACCCCTCTGTGTCACTGCACACACACACACACACACACCCCTCTGTGTCACTGCACCACCCACACACACACACACCCCTCTGTGTCACTGCACACACACCCACACACCCCTGTGTCACTGCACACACACACACACACACACCCCTGTGTCGCTGCACACACACACACACACACACACCCCCTGTGTCACTGCACACACACACACACACCCCTGTGTCACTGCACACACACCCACACACCCCTGTGTCACTGCACACACACACCCACACACCCCTGTGTCACTGCACACACACACCCACACACCCCTGTGTCACTGCACACACACACCCACACACCCCTGTGTCACTGCACACACACACCCACACACCCCTGTGTCACTGCACACACACACACACACACCCACACACCCCTGTGTCACTGCACACACACACACACACACCCACACCCCTCTGTGTCACTGCGCACACACACACACACACACACACACACACACACACACACACACCCTCTGTGTCACTGCACACACACACCCCTCTGTGTCACTGCACACACACACACACCCCTCTGTGTCACTGCACACACACACACACACACACCCCTCTGTGTCACTGCACACACACACACACACCTCTGTGTCACTGCACACACACACACACACCCCTGTGTCACTGCACACACACACCCCTCTGTGTCACTGCCTGCACACACACACACACCCCTCTGTGTCACTGCCTGCACACACACACACACACCCCTGTGTCACTGCACACACACACACCCCTCTGTGTCACTGCCTACGCGCGCACACACACACACACACCCCCCTGTGTCACTGCACACACACCACACACACACACACCCCTGTGTCACTGCACACACCCACACACCCCTCTGTGTCACTGCACACACACACACACACACACACACCCCTGTGTCACTGCACACACCCACACACCCCTCTGTGTCACTGCACACACCCACACCCCCCTGTGTCACTGCACACACCCACACCCCCCTGTGTCACTGCCTGCACACACACACACACACACACCCCTCTGTGTCACTGCCTGCACACACACACACACACACCCCCCCTCTGTGTCACTGCCTGCACACACACACAAACACACACACACACACACACCCCCGTGTCACTGCCTGCACATACACACACACCCCTGTGTCACTGCACACACACACACACCCCTCTGTGTCACTGCCTGCACACACACCCCTCTGTGTCACTGCCTGCACACACACCCCTCTGTGTCACTGCCTGCACACACACACACACACACACACAAACACACACCGTGTCACTGCCTGCACACACACACACACCCACCCCTCTGTGTCACTGCCTGCACACACCCCTCTGTGTCACTGCCTGCACACACACCCCTCTGTGTCACTGCCTGCACACACACACACACACACACACACACCCCTCTGTGTCACTGCCTGCGCACACACACACACACACACACACACACACACCCGTGTCACTGCCTGCACATACACACACACCCCTGTGTCACTGCACACACACACACACCCCTCTGTGTCACTGCCTGCACACACACCCCTCTGTATCACTGCCTGCACACACACACAAACACACACACACACACACACACACCCCTCTGTGTCACTGCCTGCACACACACACACACACACACCCCTCTGTGTCACTGCCTGCACACACACCCCTCTGTGTCACTGCCTGCACACACACCCCTCTGTGTCACTGCCTGCACACACACACCCCTCTGTGTCACTGCCTGCACACACACACACACACACACCCCTCTGTGTCACTGCCTGCACACACACACAAACACACACACACACACACACACACACAAACACACACCCGTGTCACTGCCTGCACATACACACACACTCTGAGACTGTTACCTGAGGCGAGCCACTGTCCTGATGGAGACACACTGATGGACCGAACCAGACCGCTGTGACCCCGATACACCTGAACACAGATAGATGATGTCAGTGAGGCCTCACCTGTCTGCTGGGCCTGCGTGCGTGCGTGCGTGCGTACCAGAGACTGTGTGGTGGGAAACGGCTGCAGGTCTTTGGGTTTGGGGAGTTTTGGAATCAGGTCCTCTGGGTTGACGTTGACCTGCAGACAGACAGGTACAGAAACAGACACGTCATTGATCACACACAGACAGGCCTGTGTCCTGATTGGCTGGAGCTGCAGGTGTGTTCGTTACCCTCATCTTCCTCTGTCGGGGACACAGATAGAGGTCGAGGCAGCGCTCGAACCTCTCGTGGATGAAGCGAGGGAACGCAGGAACCTGGCGGAGGCTGGAGAACGCCCTGGGAACAAACGGGAACTTCCTGTCTGACGGATCCTGCTGCTCCCACAGAGCTCGCTGCAGAGAGACAGACAGGTGAGCAAGCAGGTAAGTAGAGAGACAGACAGACCGTAAAGAGACAGACAGGCAGGTAGAGAGACAGACAGACCGTAAAGAGACAGACAGGCAGGTAGAGAGACAGACAGACCGTAAAGAGACAGACCGTAAAGAGACAGACAGGCAGGTAGAGAGACAGACAGACCGTAAAGAGACAGACAGGCAGGTAGAGAGACAGACAGACCGTAAAGAGACAGACCTTAAAGAGACAGACAGCCAGGTAGAGAGACAGACAGTAAAGAGACAGACAGACAGGTGAGCAAGCAGGCAGGTAGAGAGACAGACAAGTAGAGACAGACCGTAAAGAGACAGACAGACAGGTGAGCAAGCAGGCAGGTAGAGAGACAGACAAGTAGAGACAGACAGGCAGGTAGAGAGACAGACAGGCAGGTAGAGAGACAGACAGGCAGGTAGAGAGACAGACAGACCGTAAAGAGACAGACAGACCGTAAAGAGACAGACAGGCAGGTAGAGAGACAGACAGACCGTAAAGAGACAGACAGTAAAGAGACAGACAGGCAGGTAGAGAGACAGACCGTAAAGAGACAGACCGTAGAGAGACAGACCGTAAAGAGACAGACAGGCAGGTAGAGAGACAGACAGACCGTAAAGAGACAGACCGTAGAGAGACAGACCGTAAAGAGACAGACAGGCAGGTAGAGAGACAGACAGACCGTAAAGAGACAGACCGTAGAGAGACAGACCGTAAAGAGACAGACAGCCAGGTAGAGAGACAGACAGTAAAGAGACAGACAGACCGTAAAGAGACAGACAGCCAGGTAGAGAGACAGACAGTAAAGAGACAGACAGACCGTAAAGAGACAGACAGACAGGTGAGCAAGCAGGCAGGTAGAGAGACAGACAAGTAGAGACAGACCGTAAAGAGACAGACAGGCAGGTAGAGAGACAGACAGACCGTAAAGAGACAGACAGGCAGGTAGAGAGACAGACAGGCAGGTAGAGAGACAGACAGACAGGTAGACAGACAGACAGACCGTAAAGAGACAGACAGACAGGTAGACAGACAGACAGACAGTAAAGAGACAGACAGGCAGGTAGAGAGACAGACCGTAGAGAGACAGACCGTAGAGAGACAGACCGTAGAGAGACAGACAGCCAGGTAGACAGACAGACCGTAAAGAGACAGACAGACAGGTGAGCAAGCAGGCAGGTAGAGAGACAGACAAGTAGAGACAGACCGTAAAGAGACAGACAGACAGGTGAGCAAGCAGGCAGGTAGAGAGACAGACAAGTAGAGACAGACCGTAAAGAGACAGACAGGCAGGTAGAGAGACAGACAGACCGTAAAGAGACAGACAGGCAGGTAGAGAGACAGACAGACCGTAAAGAGACAGACAGACAGTAAAGAGACAGACAGGCAGGTAGAGAGACAGACAGACCGTAAAGAGACAGACAGACAGTAAAGAGACAGACAGGCAGGTAGAGAGACAGACAGGCAGGTAGAGAGACAGACAGACAGTAAAGAGAGACAGACAGACAGTAAAGAGACAGACAGACAGGTAGACAGACAGACAGACAGTAAAGAGACAGACAGGCAGGTAGAGAGACAGACAGACCGTAAAGAGACAGACAGACCGTAAAGAGACAGACAGGCAGGTAGAGAGACAGACAGACCGTAAAGAGACAGACAGTAAAGAGACAGACAGGCAGGTAGAGAGACAGACCGTAAAGAGACAGACCGTAGAGAGACAGACCGTAAAGAGACAGACAGGCAGGTAGAGAGACAGACAGACCGTAAAGAGACAGACCGTAGAGAGACAGACCGTAAAGAGACAGACAGGCAGGTAGAGAGACAGACAGACCGTAAAGAGACAGACCGTAGAGAGACAGACCGTAAAGAGACAGACAGCCAGGTAGAGAGACAGACAGTAAAGAGACAGACAGACCGTAAAGAGACAGACAGCCAGGTAGAGAGACAGACAGTAAAGAGACAGACAGACCGTAAAGAGACAGACAGACAGGTGAGCAAGCAGGCAGGTAGAGAGACAGACAAGTAGAGACAGACCGTAAAGAGACAGACAGGCAGGTAGAGAGACAGACAGACCGTAAAGAGACAGACAGGCAGGTAGAGAGACAGACAGACAGGTAGACAGACAGACAGACCGTAAAGAGACAGACAGACAGGTAGACAGACAGACAGACAGTAAAGAGACAGACAGGCAGGTAGAGAGACAGACCGTAGAGAGACAGACCGTAGAGAGACAGACCGTAGAGAGACAGACAGCCAGGTAGACAGACAGACCGTAAAGAGACAGACAGACCGTAAAGAGACAGACAGACAGGTGAGCAAGCAGGCAGGTAGAGAGACAGACAAGTAGAGACAGACCGTAAAGAGACAGACAGACAGGTGAGCAAGCAGGCAGGTAGAGAGACAGACAAGTAGAGACAGACCGTAAAGAGACAGACAGGCAGGTAGAGAGACAGACAGACCGTAAAGAGACAGACAGGCAGGTAGAGAGACAGACAGACCGTAAAGAGACAGACAGGCAGGTAGAGAGACAGACAGACCGTAAAGAGACAGACAGACAGTAAAGAGACAGACAGGCAGGTAGAGAGACAGACAGACCGTAAAGAGACAGACAGACAGTAAAGAGACAGACAGGCAGGTAGAGAGACAGACAGGCAGGTAGAGAGACAGACAGACAGTAAAGAGAGACAGACAGACAGTAAAGAGACAGACAGACAGGTAGACAGACAGACAGACAGTAAAGAGACAGACAGGCAGGTAGAGAGACAGACAGACCGTAAAGAGACAGACAGGCAGGTAGAGAGACAGACAGACCGTAAAGAGACAGACAGGCAGGTAGAGAGACAGACAGACCGTAAAGAGACAGACAGTAAAGAGACAGACAGGCAGGTAGAGAGACAGACAGACCGTAAAGAGACAGACCGTAAAGAGACAGACAGGCAGGTAGAGAGACAGACAGACCGTAAAGAGACAGACAGGCAGGTAGAGAGACAGACAGACCGTAAAGAGACAGACCTTAAAGAGACAGACAGCCAGGTAGAGAGACAGACAGTAAAGAGACAGACAGACCGTAAAGAGACAGACAGACAGGTGAGCAAGCAGGCAGGTAGAGAGACAGACAAGTAGAGACAGACCGTAAAGAGACAGACAGACAGGTGAGCAAGCAGGCAGGTAGAGAGACAGACAAGTAGAGACAGACCGTAAAGAGACAGACAGGCAGGTAGAGAGACAGACAGGCAGGTAGAGAGACAGACAGACAGTAAAGAGACAGACAGGCAGGTAGAGAGACAGACAGACCGTAAAGAGACAGACAGACCGTAAAGAGACAGACAGGCAGGTAGAGAGACAGACCGTAAAGAGACAGACCGTAGAGAGACAGACCGTAAAGAGACAGACAGGCAGGTAGAGAGACAGACAGACCGTAAAGAGACAGACCGTAGAGAGACAGACCGTAAAGAGACAGACAGGCAGGTAGAGAGACAGACAGACCGTAAAGAGACAGACCGTAGAGAGACAGACCGTAAAGAGACAGACAGCCAGGTAGAGAGACAGACAGTAAAGAGACAGACAGACCGTAAAGAGACAGACAGCCAGGTAGAGAGACAGACAGTAAAGAGACAGACAGACCGTAAAGAGACAGACAGACAGGTGAGCAAGCAGGCAGGTAGAGAGACAGACAAGTAGAGACAGACCGTAAAGAGACAGACAGGCAGGTAGAGAGACAGACAGACCGTAAAGAGACAGACAGGCAGGTAGAGAGACAGACAGGCAGGTAGAGAGACAGACAGACAGGTAGACAGACAGACAGACCGTAAAGAGACAGACAGACAGGTAGACAGACAGACAGACAGTAAAGAGACAGACAGGCAGGTAGAGAGACAGACCGTAGAGAGACAGACCGTAGAGAGACAGACCGTAGAGAGACAGACAGCCAGGTAGACAGACAGACCGTAAAGAGACAGACAGACCGTAAAGAGACAGACAGACAGGTGAGCAAGCAGGCAGGTAGAGAGACAGACAAGTAGAGACAGACCGTAAAGAGACAGACAGACAGGTGAGCAAGCAGGCAGGTAGAGAGACAGACAAGTAGAGACAGACCGTAAAGAGACAGACAGGCAGGTAGAGAGACAGACAGACCGTAAAGAGACAGACAGGCAGGTAGAGAGACAGACAGACCGTAAAGAGACAGACAGACAGTAAAGAGACAGACAGGCAGGTAGAGAGACAGACAGGCAGGTAGAGAGACAGACAGACAGTAAAGAGAGACAGACAGACAGTAAAGAGACAGACAGACAGGTAGACAGACAGACAGACAGTAAAGAGACAGACAGGCAGGTAGAGAGACAGACAGACCGTAAAGAGACAGACAGGCAGGTAGAGAGACAGACAGACCGTAAAGAGACAGACAGGCAGGTAGAGAGACAGACAGACCGTAAAGAGACAGACAGTAAAGAGACAGACAGGCAGGTAGAGAGACAGACAGACCGTAAAGAGACAGACCGTAAAGAGACAGACAGGCAGGTAGAGAGACAGACAGACCGTAAAGAGACAGACAGGCAGGTAGAGAGACAGACAGACCGTAAAGAGACAGACCTTAAAGAGACAGACAGCCAGGTAGAGAGACAGACAGTAAAGAGACAGACAGACCGTAAAGAGACAGACAGACAGGTGAGCAAGCAGGCAGGTAGAGAGACAGACAAGTAGAGACAGACCGTAAAGAGACAGACAGACAGGTGAGCAAGCAGGCAGGTAGAGAGACAGACAAGTAGAGACAGACCGTAAAGAGACAGACAGGCAGGTAGAGAGACAGACAGGCAGGTAGAGAGACAGACAGGCAGGTAGAGAGACAGACAGACCGTAAAGAGACAGACAGTAAAGAGACAGACAGCCAGGTAGAGAGACAGACAGTAAAGAGACAGACCGTAGAGAGACAGACCGTAAAGAGACAGACAGGCAGGTAGAGAGACAGACAGACCGTAAAGAGACAGACAGTAAAGAGACAGACAGCCAGGTAGAGAGACAGACAGTAAAGAGACAGACAGACCGTAAAGAGACAGACAGACAGGTGAGCAAGCAGGCAGGTAGAGAGACAGACAAGTAGAGACAGACCGTAAAGAGACAGACAGACAGGTGAGCAAGCAGGCAGGTAGAGAGACAGACCGTAAAGAGACAGACAGACCATAAAGAGACAGACAGGCAGGTAAAGAGACAGACAGGCAGGTAGAGAGACAGACAGGCAGGTAGAGAGACAGACAGACAGGTAGACAGACAGACAGACAGTAAAGAGACAGACAGGCAGGTAGAGAGACAGACCGTAGAGAGACAGACCGTAGAGAGACAGACAGCCAGGTAGAGAGACAGACAGTAAAGAGACAGACAGACCGTAAAGAGACAGACAGACAGGTGAGCAAGCAGGCAGGTAGAGAGACAGACAAGTAGAGACAGACCGTAAAGAGACAGACAGACAGGTGAGCAAGCAGGCAGGTAGAGAGACAGACAAGTAGAGACAGACCGTAAAGAGACAGACAGACAGGTGAGCAAGCAGGCAGGTAGAGAGACAGACAAGTAGAGACAGACCGTAAAGAGACAGACAGGCAGGTAGAGAGACAGACAGACCGTAAAGAGACAGACAGGCAGGTAGAGAGACAGACAGGCAGGTAGAGAGACAGACAGACCGTAAAGAGACAGACAGGCAGGTAGAGAGACAGACAGACAGTAAAGAGACAGACAGACAGGTAGACAGACAGACAGACAGTAAAGAGACAGACAGGCAGGTAGAGAGACAGACAGACAGGTAGACAGACAGACAGACAGTAAAGAGACAGACCGTAAAGAGACAGACAGTAAAGAGACAGACAGTAAAGAGACAGACAGGCAGGTAGAGAGACAGACAGACCGTAAAGAGACAGACAGACAGGTAGACAGACAGACAGACAGTAAAGAGACAGACAGGCAGGTGCAGGTCTGTAACCAGGTCTAACAGGTGACTCTTCAGAGGGACGTACCTCTTCGTCGGTGAACAGGTACTCAGGTGGGGGGTTGTAGGACTCGTGGTGACCAGGTAGAGGGGTCTTGGGGGCCGGCAGGTGCATCCTGTGTCTGGCCAGGATAGAGGAGTCCTCGCTGGCCCACAGGTCGTAGTAGCGCCCCCTGCTGTCATCCTCCTGCCGCCGAGGCTTGATCCAGCCCATCTTTATGGCGTGAACCAGTTTGGACACCTTCTCCTTCTCCACCAGAGACGGGATGAAGCTGCGCTTATCAGCCGGCCGGTTAGTGACCGGGTGGAGCATCAGGTCGGAACTGAAGAACTCCACCTGAGGCTGGGGGAGACAAGATATCACACAGTCCACATCAGAGCACACCTGCACAAGTCTCTGAAACATCAATTAGATAAACAGGATCTATAAAGTGTATGAAGCTGAAACTGATCAGGAATCAATCATCCGTCATGCTGTGATCGGTCACACTGATGGAGCTGTGGGGTCTGTGGTGTCTGGAACTGTGGAGTCTGTAGGGCCTGGAGCTGTGGGGTCTGGAGCTGTGGGGGTCTGTGGGGTCTGGAGCTGTGGGGTCTATAGGATCTGCAGCTGTGGGGTCTTTAGGGTCTGGATCTATGGAGTCTGGATCGATGGGGTCTGGAGCTGGGGAGTCTGTAGGGTCTGGAGCTGTGGGGTCTGGAGCTGGGGAGTCTGTAGGGTCTGGAGCTGTGGGGTCTGGATCGATGGGGTCTGGATCGATGGGGTCTGGAGCTGGGGATTCTGGAGCTGGGGAGTCTGTAGGGTCTGGAGCTGGGGAGTCTGGAGCTGTGGGGTCTGTAGGGCCTGGAGCTGGGGGGTCTGTAGGGTCTGGAGCTGGGGAGTCTGGAGCTGGGGGGTCTGTAGGGCCTGGAGCTGGGGGGTCTGTAGGGTCTGGAGCTGGGGGGTCTGTAGGGTCTGGAGCTGGGGGGTCTGGAGCGATGGGGTCTGGAGCTGGGGGGTCTGGAGCGATGGGGTCTGGAGCTGGGGGGTCTGGAGCGATGGGGTCTGGAGCGATGGGGTCTGGAGCTGGGGAGTCTGGAGCTGGGGAGTCTGGAGCTGGGGTGTCTCTGGGGTCTGCAGCTGTGGAGTCTGGGGGGTCTGGAGCTGGGGTGTCTGTGGGGTCTGCAGCTGTGGAGTCTGGGGGGTCTGGAGCTGGGGTGTCTGTGGGGTCTGCAGCTGTGGAGTCTGCAGCTGTGGAGTCTGCAGCTGTGGAGTCTTTAGGGTCTGGGGGGTCTGGAGCTGTGGGGTCTGGGGGGTCTGGAGCTGTGGGGTCTGGGGGGTCTGGAGCTGTGGGGTCTGTAGGGTCTGCAGCTGTGGGGTCTGGAGCTGTGGGGTCTGGGGGGTCTGGAGCTGTGGGGTCTGGGGGGTCTGGAGCTGTGGGGTCTGGGGGGGTCTGGAGCTGTGGGGTCTATAGGATCTGCAGCTGTGGGGTCTTTAGGGTCTGGATCTGTGGGGTCTGGATCGATGGGGTCTGGATCTATGGGGTCTGTAGGGTCTGGAGCTGTGGGGTCTGTAGGGTCTGGAGCTGTGGGGTCTGGAGCTGGGGAGTCTATAGGGTCTGGAGCTGGGGGGTCTTTAGGGTCTGGATCTATGGGGTCTGGAACTGGGGGGTCTATAGGGTCTGGAGCTGGGGAGTCTATAGGGTCTGGATCTATGGGGTCTGTAGGGTCTGGAGCTGTGGGGTCTGGAGCTGTGGGGTCTGGAGCTGTGGGGTCTGGAGCTGTGGGGTCTGTAGGGTCTGGAGCTGTGGGGGCTGGAGCTGGGGAGTCTATAGGGTCTGGAGCTGGGGGGTCTTTAGGGTCTGGATCTATGGGGTCTGGAACTGGGGGGTCTATAGGGTCTGGAGCTGGGGAGTCTATAGGGTCTGGAGCTGTGGGGTCTGGAGCTGGGGGTGTCTATAGGGTCTGGAGCTGGGGGTGTCTATAGGGTCTGGAGCTGGGGGTGTCTATAGGGTCTGGAGCTGGGGGGTCTGGGGGGTCTGGAGCTGGGGGGTCTGGGGGGTCTGGAGCTGGGGGGTCTGGGGGGTCTGGAGCTGGGGGGTCTGGAGCTGGGGGGTCTGGAGCTGGGGGGTCTGGAGCTGGGGGGTCTGGGGGGTCTGGAGCTGTGGGGTCTATAGGATCTGGAGCTGGGGAGTCTGGAGCTGGGGAGTCTGTAGGGTCTGGAGCTGTGGGGTCTGGAGCTGTGGGGTCTGGAGCTGGGGAGTCTGTAGGGTCTGGAGCTGTGGGGTCTGGAGCTGTGGGGTCTGGAGCTGTGGGGTCTGGAGCTGTGGGGTCTGGAGCTGTGGGGGCTGGAGCTGTGGGGGCTGTAGGGTCTGGAGCTGGGGGGTCTGTAGGGTCTGGAGCTGGGGGGTCTGTAGGGTCTGGAGCTGGGGGGTCTGTAGGGTCTGGATCTATGGGGTCTGGAGCTGGGGGGTCTATAGGGTCTGGAGCTGTGGAGTCTATAGGGTCTGGAGCTGTGGGGTCTGGGGGGTCTGGAGCTGTGGGGTCTATAGGATCTGCAGCTGTGGGGTCTATAGGATCTGGAGCTGGGGAGTCTGGAGCTGGGGAGTCTGGAGCTGGGGAGTCTGGAGCTGGGGAGTCTGGAGCTGGGGAGTCTGGAGCTGGGGAGTCTGGAGCTGGGGAGTCTGGAGCTGGGGAGTCTGGAGCTGGGGAGTCTGGAGGGTCTGGAGCTGTGGGGTCTGGAGCTGTGGGGTCTGTAGGGTCTGGAGCTGGGGGGTCTTTAGGGTCTGGATCTATGGGGTCTGGAGCTGGGGGGTCTGTAGGGTCTGCAGCTGGGGGGTCTATAGGATCTGCAGCTGGGGGGTCTGTAGGGTCTGGAGCTGGGGGGTCTATAGGGTCTGGAGCTGGGGGGTCTGGGGAGGCGCCATCGCGCTCCTCGGTCTGAACTCCTTCCTCTGCTGGATCACTGGGTGGAGCCTGAGCGTACCTGGTATTCGTTGAAGTTGACATCTCCAAACTGGCCTTTCTGCAGGCGGTTCACCAGCTCCACCTGCTCGTCCGACAGCACGATGTCACTTCCTGTCTTCTTGTCGTGGACCGTTCTCCTGCAGACAAACAGAACGCTGTTAGCATCATTAGCATTCCCTCTCTAAACCAATGGGGGAGCTAGCATCACGCTAGCAGGCTCACCAGTATTCTGGGTTCTCCATTTTGTCCAGGAAGTCGTCCAGCTCGTCCTTGTTCCTGATTGGTTTGTAGATCTTCTTCCCGTCCAGGTCGTAGCCGATGTGCGGGAAGTCTTTGTACCACTCCATGGGAATGTTCCCCACCGTGTTCCTGATGTCCTGCAGCAGAGCGTCAGAGGACGGCATTTACTCACCTCGCCACTTTCTATCTAACCTGAGTGATATCATGCTTCACTGATTCAGCACGTCCGCTGGCTCTCAGACACACTGAGACGGAGCCGCGTGTTTATAGAAAAACTAACGCTGAGAAGTCACTTTATGCACGTTCTTAACACAAAGCTGCGCACGTCGGAGAAATAGGTTATTAGCAAGCATGTGAGAAGCTAATAAGGACATGCTAACGAGGTTAGCGCACTCAGCTTGGACTGCACAGAACAGGAGGCTCACGCTCAGACTGCCTCTCATCAGCTTTTAAATTAAACTTGCGGTTGTTAAAGGTACGTGCTAATTAACCGGCGAGACACTAAAAAGAATCCTGATCTCACAAACACGTCTTTGAATGAACGTTTCTGCTGCAGCGACTGAAAGTTCCTCTGAGATCTGCTGTCTGCCGGGGCTGAACGGTAAATTACAGAAAATAATCTAACTGTAATTTCTTTTCCTAATACTGCGATTTAATATGCAATTAACTCTTTACCTTCTGTAGTATTCAGAACGGACAGGCAGTAAATCAGAGTCTGACCATCACAGTATCAGAGCGCACACTGCCGCTTCCTCTGACACGCTGATGAAGGAATTATTATTATTATTATGAGCACGGGTGGAGAAGAAGTTTCAGATTATAATATGAGAAAGATCATTTGAGTCGAGTCATAGCATTAAATAATCTGACATCATCAGGTCGGCCTAGTTCACCACAAACCCACAGTTAATGCGTCCGTCTCAAAAACTACACTGTAAAACACTCAGTCACACGACTGCACGCATCATTTATGAAGTCAGGGCACATCTGGAACATGAACGCGGCCGTGGTGTATCATAACTATGTGCTACTGTCAGCGCCATTACTGTAACAATCAAACGTTTCAGCTCATAACGTGAGGTAACACGACTTTAACGTGAAGCTAGCTTGCTAACTGGCTTACGGAGACAAGTCTTCATCGTCCACAGAGACACAGCGTTACGCGCCTCCTCTCGTTTCCAGGAGAGCGCACGACCTTTCTGTCTGAGTGAAGTGCTGCCACACTCTGGAGGTTTTCGGTAGTGAAGGTGCAGCGCTAACGTTCTGTGGTTTTACTGTTCACATCACGTCACTCCGTCAAGCTCATGCTGTCGTTTCGACCCGATGAAATCATGAAACGGTGGCAACAAATTCAATAGTCGACTACGTTGATCAGTTGTTGCCCTTCACTTGTAGATCGTGTTTTGTATTTGTGGACCAGGAGGTGTTTGGGGATTTTGACTCTGCGTGTTTTGTAACGTGTGACGCAACGTCGGGCCTTTCAGTTACTGAGGCATCGTTTCACCGCCGGAGACACTCCTCTGTCATCAAGACTGAGATCGAGAGTTGCTGTTGTAACATTGATGTTCAGGATGTTGGAAAACCTGACAGAACACTGACCCAGATCCAACACACCTAATCCAGGCCGGTAGAACGTTACTCTTACTGTCAGACACTCAAACAGAACGTTACAACTGATTCCCCGACAAGAGAACCCAGAAGAACAAACTGGTCTCACCTCCTCATCTGAAGAGTCGCGCTCGTACTCGTCTTCTTGATTTTCTTTTCTCGCTCCTGCCTCCTGCTGCTCCTCTATCTGCAGGTGTAACAGAACACAGGTGACGTTCTACAGGAGAACACAGCAGGCTCCTCACGTTCTACACTGCTGAACAGGCGGGTCAGCATCAGCCAATCAGCTGTCAGACTAACACGCAGGTTAAACTACCTGCTGAGTCTGCTCTGTTCCCGTCTTCAGATCTTCACCATCATCGTTATCATCATCTGATTCCTCCTCTTCCTCCTCACCGTCTTCCTCATCCTCACTTTCACTCCCAGAATCCTCCAGTCCAGAGTAGACGCTGTCCTCGCTGTCCGACAGATCTTCATCCTCCTCCTCAGCAGGTTTCTTGTTGAAGTCGAAGATCTGAAGAGAACAAACACAGATTCAAACGGCAGAAGCCCACGCCAAACTCCATACAAAAACCTGCTGATTTTAGCAGCGCTGATCTCTCCAGACGAAAGGGAACATGCTGGCTGGGTTCAGACCCCACAAACAATCACATCAACATATTTACATTATTTTCAGTTGAAATGCAGAAATTACCATTCCCACTAAAACCATGATTCATCGCAAAACCTGTCAAATTAGCATAATTTGATCTTAAACCCGTCAGATTCTGACTGGAGTTTGGTGTGAGTCTGTCCTGGCAGCATCTGTGAGCTCATGTCCTGAAATGAACAGCAGGGCTAACATGCTACACTGTTGTTAGCGGTGGGTTTGATGTTTACACGGTCAGCTGATCAGATCTATTAACACTGTTGAATACAGTGAAACATTAGCTGACTTCAGCTAAGATTAAAGGTGATTAAGAGGAAACTGACATGTATCCGAACCACCAGAACTCCATTCAGATTATGAGCGTTTTAAACTGCGGTGCTTCTCCTTTAAACATTTGTTATTACTTTAATTAAATAACTGTTGGAGTAGTCTCAGCTGATCTCTGTTAACATTAGTTTGAGAAAGAATCGAGGAGAGGACAGAGCCCACAGAGGAGCTCTGAAGAAGAGCAAAGGGGTTTAAAATGGAGAGATTCTTTCAGAGTTTGGTGCAAGTCGGTCTCAGCTCAGCAGCCAGACAAGCTAGCAGTTAATAGAAACCGTATTACGGTAACTCTTGTGTGTATCTATCCAAAACACTGATGACAGTATCTATTAACCAGCTTTAGCGAAGATTAGCATGTTTATTTCCAGGAGAAATAACCTGACCGACAACGCGGTGTCTCCGCGTAGAACTCCATTCAGAATCTGGCCGTTTTAAACTGCTCTACTTCTCTTGAAGCTTTAAACCCTCCTGTGATGGGCAGCTGGACTCGGTCTGGACTCGGTCTGGACTCCTCTCCGGTTCGGCCCACCTCTCTGAACCTTCACGCAGTCAGTGGCTCAGTTTGAGCAGCATTTCTCTCTCTCAGCAATCCTGTTAGCATGCTAACAGTTAGCCGCCAGATTCTCCCCAGTTAACCGGTGAACTCCTCTCCTGTCAGAGGCTCACCTCCTCCTGCTCCTCCTGCTCCTCCTGCTCCTCCTGCTCCTCCGGCTCCTCCGGCTCCTCCTGACTCCTCTTCTTTACACTTTTCCGTCGGACTTTCGTCGACTCTTTGCTGGGCTCGGTGCTCCGCATGTCTCCGCTGCTGCTCTCCTCCATCACACAGCACGTGGGACCTGGAGGGTTAAAGGTCACACGTCACAGCTGGACGGTTTCCTGCGGGCGCCATCTTGTGGTCATGTTACAGTTTTTCTTGAAATGATGACTCTTTTCTCGAAACTCTAAACACAAATCCACAACTTCTCGGCCAGTTAATGTCCTATTTTCCTTGTTGCAGTTGATTGGGTAACACATGAGACACGCCCACCAAACGGGAGCAAACACACCCCGAAGCCCGTTGCAGAACGTTGCGCAACGTTTCAAGGAAACATGCCGTTCAGTCTGAAAACGTTGCAAACCGCTGCAAAACGTTTTGAGATTGAACTCCCCGCTGTTCCCGCCCCCAGAAACCGTTCACATGACAACAGAAACATGTTTTATTCCTCACTGTTCTCCTGCTCCTCTCCCTGCTCCTCCTCCTCCTCACCCTCCTCCTCCTCCTTCTCCTCCTATCCCTCCTCCTTCTCCTCCTCTCCCTCCTGCTCCTCTCCCTCCTGCTCTTGCTCCTGCTCCTCTCCCTCCTCCTCCTGCTCCTGCTGCTCCTCCTCTCCGTCCTGCTCTTGCTCCTGCTGCTCCTGCTCCTCCTCCTACTCCTGCTCCTGCTGCTCCTGCTGCTCCTGCTCCTCCTGATCCTGCTCCTCTCCCTCCTCCTCCTGCTCCTCCTGGGGAGGGGGCGCTGGGATTGGGCCAATGTCAACACAATGTGAAGGGGAGAAGTGAAGGAGAGAAGTGAAGAGAGAAGTGAAGGAGAGAAGTGAAGGAGAGAAGTGAAGAGAGAAGTGAAGAGAGAAGTGAAGGAGAGAAGTGAAGGAGAGAAGTGACGTGAAGGGTGTAAGTGAAGGGTAGAAGTGAAGGGTGTAAGTGAAGGAGAGAAGTGAAGTGAAGGGTGTAAGTGAAGGAGAGAAGTGAAGGAGAGAAGTGAAGAGAGAAGTGAAGAGTAGAAGTGAAGGAGAAAAGTGAAGGAGAGAAGTGAAGGGTAGAAGTGAAGGAGAGAAGTGAAGGAGAGAAGTGAAGAGAGAAGTGAAGGAGAGAAGTGAAGGAGAGAAGTGAAGGGTAGAAGTGAAGGAGAGAAGTGAAGAGAGAAGTGAAGGGTAGAAGTGAAGGGTAGAAGTGAAGGGTGGAAGTGAAGGAGAGAAGTGAAGGGTAGAAGTGAAGGAGAGAAGTGAAGGAGAGAAGTGAAGTGAAGGGTAGAAGTGAAGGGTAGAAGTGAAGGGTGGAAGTGAAGGAGAGAAGTGAAGTGAAGGGTGGAAGTGAAGGAGAGAAGTGAAGTGAAGGGTAGAAGTGAAGGGTAGAAGTGAAGGGTGGAAGTGAAGGAGAGAAGTGAAGGAGAGAAGTGAAGTGAAGGGTGGAAGTGAAGGGTAGAAGTGAAGGGTGGAAGTGAAGGAGAGAAGTGAAGTGAAGGGTGTAAGTGAAGGAGAGAAGTGAAGGAGAGAAGTGAAGGAGAGAAGTGAAGAGAGAAGTGAAGGGTAGAAGTGAAGGAGAGAAGTGAAGGAGAGAAGTGAAGGGTAGAAGTGAAGGAGAGAAGTGAAGGAGAGAAGTGAAGAGAGAAGTGAAGGAGAGAAGTGAAGGAGAGAAGTGAAGGGTAGAAGTGAAGGAGAGAAGTGAAGAGAGAAGTGAAGGAGAGAAGTGAAGGAGAGAAGTGAAGGAGAGAAGTGAAGGGTAGAAGTGAAGGAGAGAAGTGAAGGGTAGAAGTGAAGGAGAGAAGTGAAGGAGAGAAGTGAAGTGAAGGGTAGAAGTGAAGGGTAGAAGTGAAGGGTGGAAGTGAAGGAGAGAAGTGAAGGGTAGAAGTGAAGGAGAGAAGTGAAGGAGAGAAGTGAAGTGAAGGGTAGAAGTGAAGGGTAGAAGTGAAGGGTGGAAGTGAAGGAGAGAAGTGAAGTGAAGGGTGTAAGTGAAGGGTAGAAGTGAAGGAGAGAAGTGAAGGAGAGAAGTGAAGTGAAGGGTAGAAGTGAAGGGTAGAAGTGAAGGGTGGAAGTGAAGGAGAGAAGTGAAGTGAAGGGTGGAAGTGAAGGAGAGAAGTGAAGTGAAGGGTAGAAGTGAAGGGTGGAAGTGAAGGAGAGAAGTGAAGGAGAGAAGTGAAGGAGAGAAGTAAAGTGAAGGGTGGAAGTGAAGGGTAGAAGTGAAGGGTGGAAGTGAAGGAGAGAAGTGAAGTGAAGGGTGTAAGTGAAGGAGAGAAGTGAAGGAGAGAAGTGAAGGAGAGAAGTGAAGAGAGAAGTGAAGGGTAGAAGTGAAGGGTGGAAGTGAAGGGTAGAAGTGAAGTGAAGGGTGGAAGTGAAGGAGAGAAGTGAAGAGAGAAGTGAAGGAGAGAAGTGAAGTGAAGGGTAGAAGTGAAGGGTAGAAGTGAAGTGAAGGGTGGAAGTGAAGGAGAGAAGTGAAGAGAGAAGTGAAGGAGAGAAGTGAAGTGAAGGGTAGAAGTGAAGGGTAGAAGTGAAGTGAAGGGTGGAAGTGAAGGAGAGAAGTGAAGAGAGAAGTGAAGAGAGAAGTGAAGGAGAGAAGTGAAGGAGAGAAGTGAAGTGAAGGGTGGAAGTGAAGGAGAGAAGTGAAGTGAAGGGTGGAAGTGAAGGAGAGAAGTGAAGTGAAGGGTGGAAGTGACGCCTGAACGGAAACCTCTTCCAGAAGAGGACTGCTGCTGCCGGGGCTTCACCCGGGTCTGTGGGACCTGCTGAAGAATCTGGACCGGGTCTGTGCTGGTACTGGCTCATGGTCCGGTTCACACCGCCCCCCCCCAGGTTCCTGTAACAAAGCTAAAATGCTGTCTATCCCGGCGCCGGGCGGGACGATACAAAGTTCCACATGGTTAGATTTCCATAGTTATCAGGATTGTTGCTCCTGAGTGAAAGCTGAAGGAAGCAGATGGTTCTTCTGGTCAGAACATGAAGATCTTTTAGCAAACAGCGGATCACTGATCACAAATATGCACCGGTTTCGTTTTTCAGCCCCTTTTTCCTCAACAAATGAAACATCTTCACAGAAAAAGTGCTGACTCAAATGAATAAGATCCAACATTTATTTCATATTTACTGAACATTTTATTTTGTTATTGAGGAAAATGTCCCTGTGATAATTGTGTTACTGCTTTATTGTCCAGCGCTTCCCTGCATCCTTGAACCTTCACGCTTCCCTGCATCCTTGAACCTTCACGCTTCCCTGCATCCTTGAACCTTCACGCTTCCCTGCATCCTTGAACCTTCACTGAGACTGTTTAAAACGAGCCCTCACGTCCCCGTGCTGGCTGGACCCGTCCCTCTAAAGCTGCTGCTGGAGCGCAACAAGGTCCAGCTGCAGACCCAAGCACCGTTTCCATGCTGCAGTTTATAAAAGTTGCCCGTCGGCGTTTATCAAAGGGAACAAACGACTGTATTTCACTCTGATATTGTTCATTGTGGCAAGAAACCAAGACCCGGACCGAGCTGCTGCTCAGCGGGACCGAGAGAACACGAGTTTACTGCTGTTCCCAAGCTCTCTTCTGGTGTGCAGGATCGTCCCTCTTTGTCCTCTCATCAACCTTTTAAATGCTGTGGCAGAAGACCGCGTCCTCTTCCGTTACAATGACCATTTCACTGGGGCACTTGGACCCAGGGGCACGGGCCGCGGTGAAAAGGGTCTAGCGACGCCCGTGGTCTGTGGCCTCCCGCTTTTCAGCCAGTTCACACGCCACACCTTGTATTTCTCCCGCTGAGAAGCAAGTTTAGAGAAAAGGTTGCTGTTGTAATGGACGGTGCTTTCCCTGCTGCCCCATTTTTCAGATCAGATTTCTTCACTAGCTGTTAACAAGAGTCGAACTTCTGCTGAGGAAACAATCTCACATGTTACCTCTGACTTCTATCAGAGATCATAAACCTCCTCCTTCTTTTGTCCATTTATTCCTAAACTAAGTCAGGATAATGCTCAAGTATTTGAAAGTCGTCTATCAGTGAACTGATTTCCAATAAAAGCCCCGTTGCCATTTGAATTTTACAGAACTTTCTGGGAGGACAGTAAAGACAGGAGTTTTCACTTTATAAAATATCAGTAGCAGTGTCTCATCAGTTAGACGCACAGTTACCAGAGGCAAAAAGCAGCGGTGCCCAGAATCATTAACATCTGACGCCCAAATACTGAAGGAATACAAACAGGTCTTCAAAATGAATTATTATTAATATTATTATTACTAAAAACTGAAGGTAACGTCCGACTGTGTTGGAGGCGTCAAGTGTTGAGATTAACCAGAGGATGTGACACGTTTCCTGAAACCTTCGACCGTGTTCTGAAAACCGCTGACTCTTCTGGCCAATCCAAACACTCGCTTCAAAACCAGGTGATCTGGGCTCAGAACCTGACTCTCGGTCAGCAGGTAGAACACCAGCGTCCAGGAAACACATTTCCCAATTTAAAAAAGTAATCTCAACTTGGTGCAGTAAATATCTAGCATCCTGTAAGTACTGCAAGTAATACAGTAATACTTCCATATAAATACAGCACTGTGAGCCCAAAGAAAGTCTAAATTAAAAGCAGTCAAAAATCTAAATCACAGTGAATGAGAGATTCATCGCGGCTCACATCACACGCAGCCCTTTGAGCGGGCAAAGGGGGACACGGCCGGACCGGAACAGCACGCCACACCTGCCTCAGCACAGGAGAGAATGTCAGCCACAGACCTTCCGGCAGCAGGCAGAGAGAAACTCCTTTCTTGGACTGAAGTAAGGGCCGCAGGTTGAAGGGAAACATTTAGGAGTCACCGGTGAACCTCTTGCTCAGCGGGACACCGCAGTGAAAGCTGACGTGGTCCAATAGACAGGACGCACCGCTGATGATCCCGCTGCTCGCTGCTTGCATCACAGTGCAAAACCGGTTTTAGTCAGTGAGAATGTATTTTGGAAAAAGTGTCTTGACTTCCTGAACCTGTTCAAGGTTTAAAAAAGAGGCCATGCAGCATTTGGTTCAGAGAGTGACTGTTTTAGCCATCGTGAAAAACTGTAACATGAGCGGCACAAAGGTCAAAAGGTCAGTGACATGTCGGTATCTTGGTGGATAAATCAGCATCTGAGAGAGTTTCTCCTAACTTCTCGCCCAAAATAGAAAAACGAAGACAGTTTTTAATGGTTGGCTGCAGAGAGACGTCACCACGCAAGCACTGCTGTCGATTTGAAGAAGAGCATACCCTGCCATTCACTGCATGTTGACCCAAAGAGCCACTGACTCACTTTTCTTTATCAAATCTGAGTACGTGAAAAGGAAAACGTGTGTTAGAAGCTCCTCTGAAGGAGGCTTTATGAAGTGGATCAAGCAGTGTTAGTCCAAACTTCCCCTCAAGCTCTCCGACTTCCATAAACAAGCTCTTGAAGCGCGAAGAATGGATTTCAAACACAACAAACGTGTGTTATTTAGAAACAAGTCCAGTTCACAAACGAGTGGATCGATGAGGGTGTGATATTGGTTGAATTCTGTCCGTGATAAGGGTTTGGAGATTGTGAGGCAAACTGAGCAAGCCCTAGATCCTATGCAGTTTGCTTATAGGGCACATAGAGGAGTTGAGGATGCTACAATTACTCTACTTAATCTCTTGCTTAAGCACTTAGAAGGGAGAAAGATGCGTGCCAGACTGTTGTTTGTTGATTTTTCCTCAGCTTTTAACACTATCCAACCTCACATTTTAGCCAAAAGACTAATAGAGCATTTTAGCCTCAGCAAGAATTTGGTGGGTTGGATATTGGATTTTTTGATAAACAGAACACAGAGGGTGAGAGTAAATGGCATTTTGTCAAATTTACTGTGTACATGGACTGGCTCACCACAGGGCTGTGTTCTTTCACCCTTATTTTATATTTTGTACACTAACATGTGCCAAAGCATGTATACAAACAGAACGATACTGAAATATGCTGATGACACAGTTATTGTGAGTCTGTTAAATGATGGTGAATCTGGTCACGGTCCTATTATTGAAGAGTTTGTCTCCTGGTGTTACAAATCCTATTTGGAGTTAAATATAGAAAAAACAAAAGACATGATCATAGATTTTAGAAACAGTGCTTCTAATTATTACTCTACGGTCATCAAAGACCAGGCGGTGGATTGTGTAGAAAGCTGCAAATATCTTGGGACTGTCATAGACTCTAAATTGACTTTTGAAAAAAATTGTGAGTCTGTATGTAAAAAGGGTCACCAGCGTCTGTTTTGCCTCAGAAAGTTGTCCAGATTTCATATTGATAAATCTATGATGATCCTTTTCTACCATGCTTTTGTTGAATCGGTCTTGTCGTTTCTCCCTTGTATCTTGGTTTGGAAATTTGTCTTTGAAGAACAAAAATTCTTTGAACCAAATTGTTAGGTGGGCTAGTAAGATCATAGGTGAATCTCAACTCAACCTTGTAGGTCTTTATTCCAGTCAGTTACAGCATAAGGTGAGTTTCATTATTGGAGACTGTTCCCACCCTTTACATGCTGAGTTTCAGCTCCTCCCCTCTGGATGTCGGTTTGCTGCCACTAGGTGTAGAACCAAACGATACAGGAATACTTTTGTTCCCGCTGCCATAGAATTAATGAATAAAATTAGCAGTAGATGACACTCTTTGTTATGTATAGCACCTTATGTGTTTTAGCCAGGGGGGGCGGGCGGGTAAGGAGGGTGGGGGTTAGGGGGTGGTGGTGTAGAGGCACACTGCCATGTTCCTTTTAGAAGTTTTAGGCTTTGGATATTTTATAATGTTCTATGCTTATTGTTTGTTTTGATGTTTTTATGTATGGATTGCCGAAAGTCTCCTGTCTGCACAAAAATTTTACCCTCGGTTACTAATAAAGACACCTTGACCTTGGATGCTCCTCCGTAGACACCCTCCCTGTAACAAACCGTTTTCTCCTTTATGTTCCTTCTGTAAACTAGAAGTTGAATCTTTTCTTTAATTGGTGCTTCGTTGCGCTTTAACACATTAACCTGTTTCTAGATTGTAAAACTGACTCCCGACCTCTCGAGAACTCTGTCCAACTATTATGTCTTCAAAACTCCATCTGTTCTGTACAGAATTACAATCAGGCTCTAAATTATCATCACACAAAAAAAGATATTAAAAGCTCTTTAATAATAACACATTTCTTTATCAAAAATCTGTTGAAGCTTGAAAGCCTGAACTGTTGGATACTGTTTTCCACGGAGGTTCATCACAGACTTCAGAGGCCTCACTGGTCGGTCTGCATCGTCCACCCGCAGACTTAATCATTGGCACGTTCTTGTTTCCAAGGTTGTCCTCGGTCTGCTTCCCCCAGACCTACAAACCTACATCTGAAAGAAAGGCACAGGAAGATATTGTCTTCGTTCTGAGGACTTTTACTACTATCTGTCCCTCAAGTCCGGACTGAGTTGGGAAAAGGGGCGCTTCAGTATGCGGCCCCCTGCGCTTGGAATCAGCTGCAAAATGTCCTGAATCTTCAGGAGCCGGTTTCACTGGGTGCTTTTAAAGTACTTTTCCATGACATGGAGGCTGTAGATGTTTTGAATGATTACTCGGACGATCCTTGTTGTTTATCACTTGTGATAAATATATATGAAATTTAGATATTGTATGACCTTGTAACTCAAGTATTCCCATCATAAATTGTTATATGTTTTACGTATTAATATCTGCAACCTTGTTAATTGTGCTGCTTGCCGTCTCGGCCAGGACGCTCTTGGAAAAGAGATTTTTAATCTCAATGACTTTTCTTTCTGGTTAAATAAAAGTAAAATAAAATAAATATACAGGTTCTCTCGTTCACCATGTGTTTTGTTGTGTTTTAATACATTTTTTATCATTTTATTTTTGTTGTTGCGTTTTCTTTTCCCGGTCTGCTTGGTCTTTATAGTTTCTGTGTTGCCTTATCTCTTAATGCAAATCATTTTCCTGTGATATTGTTAATATTCAGTGCTTGTTCATTTGTTTGTGATTAATAAAGTGTCAAAAAGTTTTAAATATTAAAATGTGTTGTTTCCGGGTAAACTCTGTGATCCCGCTGCACTCGTTACCAGGCAACATGGAAGCGCGTGCGCACACAGAGCAGAAGATGGATTTGTTTTTGTGATTTTACGATTCCTGGACAAAATCACTTGCCTGTGATCCCAGAGAGCGAGCGTGATCAAAGTAACTCAGAAAAATAAAAGTACTAAGACCTCACGGTCAAATACTGCACTGAAAAAGTTAAGTAAAAGTATCTAAGTAGGTTATAAGCAGGAAAATGAAGAAGTAGCCAATTAAAAATAAAAGCAGCCTACTCACAGCAGAAAGGACAGTATGACTATTAACTATTATATCATTGGATTGTTATTCCTCATGCAGTAATGTAGCTGGTTGAGGTTGAACTATTTTATGATATTAATGATCAATTTTATTATGTATTGATCAGCCGATCATTTTCTCCATTAATCGTAATAAATTCTGAAAATAGTGAGAAATGTTGTCACAGTTACCCAGAGTGTCACCTTCACAGTGCAAACCTCAAAATGATTGAAAATATATTAAAATAATCAACAATTAAAGCAGCAAACCTTCATGTTTGTGAAGCTGGAACCATGAAATGTTTTTAAATGAAAAATGACTCAAATCAAACAGGTGCCAGTTCCGTTTCTGGCAGTTAGCCTAACTGATGCAGTTCTACTAGCTGGACTTGTATAAAATTTTAATCAAAACATCCTTTAAAACTCTTCATACATTTCCGGTCTGAGACGTGAATCCAACGCGGAAGACCCTTAAACCTGCATTCTACTGAACGGCCAGCAGGGAGACTCTTAGAAACAACAGTAAAATGTTTGTACTTGTCAGCTGATTTATTCCCTCAGTAAACACTTTCCTGATGAGTTTCTGGTCTCAGTCGCTAGTTCAACACAGCATGATGTTCATTTAGAGGAACAGAGACCAGGAAGCAGGGGGGGCTTTAGGGCGGGATTATCTGTGATTGACAGGTCGTTACCATGGTGATGGTCAATCAGGATAGAGAGACTCGTACCCTCGGCGCTGTGTAAATGTGTAAAAAGCTCATCAGGAGTTGGCTGTTCACTTTCTCTAGTGAGCACATTTAGTTTTAAGCCTGTTGTTCGCTGGACAGACATCAATGACAGATGCACCTCGCTAAGCTAGCTAGCTCCAAATATGGTCACGTACGGTGCCGCTGGTTGCAAAAAATCAACATGTCGGCGCCCTATCCGCCAAACTTCGAGGCTTCAAAACGGCGGTCCACAAACCAATGGGTGAGGTCACCATGACTGATGGAGCAGAAGTAGAGAATGAGTAGCTGCAGTCCCACCACCGGGCGTAGCTTTGGCTACCTGAAGCTAAGGAAAGGACCAGAGATGTTTGTGAACATTTGGCTCAGGACAGAAAGCTTCATCCATCATGATGCTGGAAATGTCTGGCCTCGAGGCACAGGGCTCCAAGTCAGAGATCAGTCTTAGATCTTTGAGTCCAGCTCAGGAGGAACGGGGGCGAAAACAAAAGTGTTGCGTTTATATATTTGTTGATTGATTTAGATTTAGGGGTAGTCAGGTCGGGGTTCATGTGGTTCAGGTTTCAGAGAGAAATAAAAACAGGACAGGTTTTTAACTTAGAGACGTTTTCATTCAACAAACAAACTGCCTGAAAAGATAAAATGCTACCGAGCTCAACAACTCTGATGTCGTGATGACAAAGCGGATCGATCACATCGTGGCTGATCCCTGATCAGATCAACGCATCTCTTCCTGCTCCCGGGTCGTCTCCGTGGTAACATTTCTCATTCATAACAAACAATATATCCAAAAATATTCAGATTCTCTTCATATTTCATATATTACAGCTGAAAACAACATGCAGAGAGCGCACCTGGTCACATGGTCTGTGACCTCATCAGATGCAGGCCTGACCCCAGTGAGCTTCAAACAACTTGATGAAAGCAGCTAAGAAGAAAAACAAAAGCTAAAATAAACATTGAAGAAGACATAAACTGGTTAATATCGATCGCTAACATCTGCAGAATAAAAACGTGACCTTTGACCTACTGAGCGATCTACAGCCGATCAACTGATTTCATGTATTGCTGCTGCTTAGTCAGCGCTTCGACTGTCCTGCTGCTATGGTAACTGATCACTTCCAACGACCCTCCCCCTCCCGATGACGTCAGAGATCAGAGTCCAGGTGGGCGGGACTCAGCAGGGCGGCAGCAGGGTCATCGGCAGGCGTGTCGGAGCTGAAGAAAGGCTCCGCCTGCAGCTCCAGCAGGGAGGGCAGGTCGGCCCCGCCCTCCCCCAAGCTGATTGGTTCGGACGTCAGGACAGGTGTGGCCGTGTAGTGCATCAGCTGCTTCCCTGTACCAATCAGAGAGCAGCAGAGTGTCACATTACAACGGGCATGTAGGGCTTCAGGGGCCAGACGGTACCTTATGACGGGCCCCCACAAGTACACAAGTGTAAGGCCCAATCTCAATGTACCCCCTAAACCCTGAACCTGAACCTGAACCCTGAACCTGAACCTAAACCTGAACTCTGAACCTAAACCCTGAACCTGAATCCTAAACCTGAACCTAAACCCTGAACCTTAACCCTGAACCTAAACCCTGAACCTGAATCTGAACTCTGAACCTAAACCCTGAACCTGAACCCTAAACCCTGAACCTGAATCTGAACTCTGAACCTAAACCCTGAACCTGAACCTAAACCCTGAACCTGAATCTGAACTCTGAACCTAAACCCTGAACCTGAACCCTAAACCCTCAGACTTATCTGACCTCACCTGGTGCGAGAGGCTGCAAGGGCTCACGTTGAGATTGGGCGCAAACGTGCGTGAGTGTTACCTGTGTGGTTGGCATTGCTGCTTTCATCACTTCCTTTAGGAAGCTCCTCCGACAGCAGCTGAGAGAAAACAGTGACATCACAGTCAGACAGGCGTGACATCATCATCAACGCGTTATTTTCAAAAAATGAATCATGTTTAATTTAACGACATTCAAGTCCCACTCAGGTGTACGTACACCTTTATGTACACGTAGGTACTAATCCACCTGAATACCTCGATACCAAATGTATGTGCATACACCTTTATGTACACATATACGTGTGTGTGTGTTTGCATTAACAAGCAGAAACCACACACGTTTCACCGCCTGATCGGGACGCGTTGCTACCAGGCACCAGGAAAAACTACAGTAAACAAATACCTTACTACCTGTAAAAGCGTGTATTTAAACCTGCATGTACCTTCATATACACCTGTACCTGGTCAAACAGTGACTGAGGAGCTGATCACCTGCTCCGCCTGTGAGTTTAGGACAGGAAGTGCACAAATACACAAAACAAAATAAAGGTCTGTGTTGTTGAACTCACAGTGTCCAAACTGTCGAGGTCAAAGTCTCCAGAGGGACAGGAAGAACTGAAAAACTGAACACACAGACAGTTCACATTAATACACACAGACGCTGTTAGCATGTGTGACAAGTGGTCAAACGACAGTGTCAGACTGACCTCCGTCAGCGGGGAGGTGTCGAAGGTGAAGGTCTGTGAGTTCAGGATGCTCTGCAGGTTTTCTAGACTGCTGTCAATACTGTCCACATGTTCAGACAGTTCAGACCTGAAACAGAAAGACATCATGTGACGTTCCAGCATCAGTCTGACGGATTCTTCTTCTCGTCATTAAATCCCGTGTTTAGACCCAAACCAACAGTTAGTGTCAGTCAGTCCTGACTTACTAATATACTTTGACTTCCTGTCTGCGGCTCCCGGCTCCATGCCCACCGCTTCCTACTGAAGTCTTTAAAAGCTCTCACCTTCTGCTTCGTTCCCGCCTACCGTCCAGACTAAAATGGTGAATCCTAACACCTGAAATGTTTAAGTCTGAAAACGCTGCTGGTTTTAAACTCCAGGGTAGCGTGTGAGTGCTGACAGGTGAAAACTATGAAGACCCTCAGGTTTGGCGTCCTGATTGGCTCTTATTAGTCATTCAAAGCAGAAACCCAAAGCTGCTGACAGAGTCTGGATGTATATCTATAAGAACACCTCACAGATATAGTTTGATTTTTACAAAAGGGCTAGAAGCAAGTTTCTATGGCTCAGAGGAAGAAGAGACACCAGGAAGTGAAGAGATCCGCTCATTGCTGGTTTGAGTCTGAACAGTGAACATGTTGACAAAAAGAAACATCAGACTTATCATTTAAAATACACTAATGAGTAAAATGTTAAAGATCATTAAGATTAATTGATTCACTTGTCAGATCGTGTTGATAAGAAGCGCCAAAGGTCAGGTGAGAGTCCACCTGCAGAGGGAGCGGGGCGGGGTCTGAGGGAAGCACAGGGGTTTTAATGACACACCGGACCTTCAAAAGGACTATCATCTGAGAATAATAAATATAAAACATACTGATGAGTTACTGTCACAGGTAAATTGAGATCATTATATCAATTACACATGTATTAGTCTATCACACAGCAGCAATGACTGGAAGACAATCAGAATGGGACAGGTGCAGGGTGAGTTGCTGGCGGAGTTGCTGGGGCAGGCGCTGGCGAAGTTGCTGGAACATGTGCTAGGGGAATTGTTGGGACAGGCGCTGGGACAGGCGCTGGGACAGGCGCTGGGGGAGTTGCTAGGGCAGGCGCTGGGACAGGCGCTGGGGGAGTTGCTAGGGCAGGCGCTGGGACAGGTGCTGGGGGAGTTGCTAGGGCAGGCGCTGGGACAGGTGCTGGGGGAGTTGCTAGGGCAGGCGCTGGGACAGGTGTTGGGGCAGGTGTAGGGTGAGTTGCTGGCGGAGTTGTTGGGACAGGCACTGGGACAGGCGCTGGGGGAGTTGCTAGGACAGACGCTGGGACAGGTGTTGGGGCAGGTGTAGGGTGAGTTGCTGGCGGAGTTGCTGGGGCAGGCGCTGGGACAGGCACTGGGGGAGTTGCTAGGTCACGTGCAGGGTGAGTTGCTGGCGGAGTTGCTGGGGCAGGCGCTGGGACAGGCGCTGGGGGAGTTGCTAGGACAGGTGTAGGGTGAGTTGCTGGCGGAGTTGCTGGGGCAGGCGCTGGGACAGGCACTGGGGGAGTTGCTAGGTCACGTGCAGGGTGAGTTGCTGGCGGAGTTGCTGGGGCAGGCGCTGGGACAGGCGCTGGGGGAGTTGCTAGGGCAGGTGTAGGGTGAGTTGCTGGCGGAGTTGTTGGGACGGGCGCTGGGACAGGCGCTGGGGGAGTTGCTAGGGCAGACGCTGGGACAGGTGCTGGGACAGGTGCAGGGTGAGTTGCTGGGGCAGACGCTGGGACAGGTGCAGGGTGAGTTGCTAGGGCAGACGCTGGGACAGGTGCAGGGTGAGTTGCTAGGGCAGACGCTGGGACAGGTGCTGGGACAGGTGCAGGGTGAGTTGCTGGGGCAGGCGCTGGGACAGGCACTGGGGGAGTTGCTAGGGCAGGTGCAGGGTGAGTTGTTGGGACAGGTGCAAGGTGAGTTGCTGGCGGAGTTGCTGGGGCAGGTGCTGGCGGAGTTGCTGGGGCAGGTGCTGGCGGAGTTGCTGGGACAGGCTCTGGGGGAGTTGTTGGGACAGTTGCTAGGGGAGTTGTTGGAACAGGTGCTAGGGGAGTTGTTGGAACAGGTGCTAGGGGAGTTGGGACAGGTGCTGGGGGAGTTGTTGGAACATATGCTAGGGGAGTTGGGACGTGCTAGGGGAGTTGGGACGTGTTAGGGGAGTTGGGACATGTTAGGGGAGTTGGGACGTGTTAGGGGAGTTGGGACAGGTGCTAGGGGAGTTGTTGGAACATGTGCTAGGGGAGTTGTTGGAACATGTGCTAGGGGAGTTGTTGGAACATGTGCTAGGGGAGTTGTTGGAACACGTGCTAGGGGAGTTGGGACAGGTGCTAGGGGAGTTGGGACAGGTGCTAGGGGAGTTGTTGGAACATGTGCTAGGGGAGTTGGGACGTGTTAGGGGAGTTGTTGGAACATATGCTAGGGGAGTTGTTGGAACACGTGCTAGGGGAGTTGGGACAGGTGCTAGGGGAGTTGTTGGAACATGTGCTAGGGGAGTTGGGACAGGTGCTAGGGGAGTTGGGACAGGTGCTAGGGGAGTTGTTGGAACATGTGCTAGGGGAGTTGGGACGTGTTAGGGGAGTTGTTGGAACATATGCTAGGGGAGTTGGGACGTGTTAGGGCCGATGTAGGCCGGTTTTGGAGAGCTGCTGGGGGAGTTGTTGGGACAGTTGCTAGGGGAGTTGTTGGAACATGTGCTAGGGGAGTTGTTGGAACATGTGCTAGGGGAGTTGTTGGAACATGTGCTTGGGGAGTTGGGACATGTGCTGGCCGATGTAGGCCGGTTTTGGGGGAGTTTTAGAGAGCTGCTGGGGGAGTTGTTGGGACAGCTGCTGTGGGAGTTGTTAGCTAGTGTTGGGAAAGGTGTTGGCCAGTGTAGGCCGGTTTTGGGGAAGTTGTTGGCTGGTGTAGGACGGTTTTGGGGGAATTTTGGAGAGCTGCTGGGGGAGTTGTTGGGACAGTTGCTGGCGGAGTTGTAACATGTAATGTGTGCTAGGGGAGTTGTTTGGACAGGTGCTGGCGGAGTTGTTAGCTAGTGTTGGGAAAGGTGTTGGCCGGTGTAGGCCAGTTTTGGTGGAGTTGTTGGGACAGTCATTAGCAATAGCAGGGTACTTAATAGTAGATAACACCAGGAAGTAAGTCTACAGCTAACGTGACTGATGTAAAACAGGTGTAAAAGACTTACTTGTCAATACAGGCAACGGTCTGACATTTCTGCTGAGGTTTGGCGGGGCTGGGGGTGGAGTTTGGAGTTGAAACACAAGCAGGTGATTGGCTGGCCGAGGCTGCAGGGAGAGGCCCAGTAGAGGCAGGGCTCATCACAACTGTGTGACTGGCTACAGAGACCAGAAACAGAGGATCCAACTGAAGACATTTAGCTTCTGAGTCAAATCTGTTATAATCTAAAGCAAACATTTTAAAGATTCAGGAACCACTAAGCACGCCACGAACATTTAGTAACATGGCTGTTGTAGGTGTGTATGAGCTGTTACCTGTTGTAGGATTGGTGGAGGTGGTGTTTGGGGTCAGCTGTGTCTCGTTGTCCTGTAGGATGGAGTTGATGAAGGTGGTGGGGGAGAGAGGCGTGTCTACATGTGCAACCTCGCACTCCAGAACAGGACACACCTCTACATCAGGACTGGACGGCTCCTCCTTGACAATGACAGACTGGTCGTCTCTGCAGGTGAAACAGGCAGAGAATGGGCTGTTGCTGACTGACAAAATGAAGGCTGCTCATTGGCTGTCAGAGCCGTCACCTGATATTAAAACCAATCAGAACCAGGGAGAGTTCCGCCTCAACAAAATGTAGCAAAACATTTATTAAACGGAAATGGTTGATGCCCTGGGCGCACCATTGCACACTGTTTCTAGTAAACATGTCATTCAATCCTGAACCTGAAGTGAATCATATTTATGTTCTGCTGCTCATGTTGTGGCGTTTGAACTCAGCCTTTGTGAGTGGATTTAGACTTTAGAGTTACTAACTGTAGATGACATGATTTCACTGGTTCTCACCCTGTGTCCGTCCAATCACTGACCACATCCTCAGCGTTGGAAGTGGCTAACTCTGTGATGTCAGAGATGATTGGTCCAGAGGTCACCGGAGAGTCTGCAGAGAACAGATTGGCTGCAGCCTGAAAACACATGAACATACGGAGTTAGACTGCGGCTCCAGCTGATCTCAGATCTGCTTCATTCTGTCTGTTCAACACACAGACACTCGTTTTCAGGGATGCACGATAATTATCGATCTGATATAATATCTGTAGGTATTAGGCATATTTTCGTTATCGGAATCATGTTGGAATGATGATTTGGCCGATGAGAATCAAACAATGCTGTAACCTTTTTACTCGCGGTGGTTTTGTTGTCATGAACCTTAGTAGTTTGGAGCAAACGTTACCTTCACTTCACCGCACGGCCGTGACCTCTGCTGGCCGCGGTGTGGAGGAGCCGACAGAATAAACCGTTCATCCCCGGGCCGTCTCATACCACGTTTCACTGCCCATCACTAAATAACATTAGTTTCTTTATTCCTCACGTTTCAATCAGGTCTCGTCTAGAAGAACACTTTTTCCATGCAGAGGAGTTTGCTGGAGCAGTGTGAACAGCTGACTAGAGATATTAGCTCAGCTACAGCCACAGTGGCAGACCTGCAGTGTTTCCCACAGGATTTGAAGAGACTATTGTGGGTGGGGGCCTTGGACCCTCTCACCGTGGGGTCTGGGGACATGCCCCCGGAAGAAAATTTTGTTAAAGTTAAATGCATTAATTTGGTGCTAAATTAAGAGGCTATCTATGAAGAACTTTGTACGCTTCTAAACAATGTTGTGCTCTAACAAACTATTTGATCATAAACCCATTGTAGAGTTTTAAATGGTGATGAAACAGCAACAAAAGTCAACAAATTTATTTAATTTTTTCCCCAAAAACCCTAAATCAAAGAATAGAAGATAGAAAAGGTTTACGGTTTTTACTTTTAATGGACACATGTAATATGTTTTATACTTCCTGTGAATATAATCCAGTTAATCTAATTTCCATCCTGTACAGACGCCTTATTTTGAAAACCGGGCGTTGTCACATGTGTTTCCTCCTCGCGCTGAATCCATCCAGTCCGACCCGGTTTGATAAATAATGTTGTATGTGGTTCTCGTACGGCGTAACATGAAGACTTCACAGCCTCTCTTCATACTTAAGAGACAAACTGTCAGGATAAAGTCTCTAACCTGCCTGTCAGCTTGCTCTGGGCCGCTTCACTTACCGTAAAGGCTGGAATACGCGCGCACTCCAAATGTAGTCGCAGCTAGCTTAATCTCCTTCTCACAGATGAGACAGAAACAGACCGTTAACATAGTTTACTCAAAATAAAAATGGTTGTCGGAGGCCAAAGTGTCTGAGCGTGCGAGCTCACAGCAGCGCCCACAAAACACAACGTTAGAGGTCTGTAATATATTATGAGATGTAAAATTATTTTTCGGTTCATTTTGAAACTATGGCGGGCAGCCACAGTCTGGTTAAAATGAGTTTGAACATCAGCCAAAATCCAGTATGGTGCATTGTCAGACTTTCCACTTTGTGTCCCAGAGGGGGAAAAGGTTTCACAGCGTTCAGACAGCTGCAGCACACGGTGACAGACAGCAGGACTCTCTCGGGTTATTTAAGGCGGTCGAGGCTGAGGGATCAGGTTTTTCCCAAAGCCAGCCCTCCTGCACCTCAGTGCCCTGTCAGGTGGTGACTGGTGTCCTGTTGGACGATTAATCGTTTTCAAAGAACGCGATTAGCTAATCGTGAAGATGGCGATTAAGATGAGTGAATTAAACATCTGCATGCAAGTAACAAATTTATTCCGTTGTCGTCCTTGTATGACAGACTGGCTAACCAATCACAAGCGTCATACGCCTCCTACTCACCAATCAGAGCGGGCACCGGACGTGTACATTTTACAACAAACGCAACTAGAAGAAACGTGGGATAACGAACAGACTCTGGCCGCTTTTTTTGTCCTGCAGCAACTCACACTGAAGTGTTTCAGCAGCGTGTTTAGCCTGCATGTTGCTGACAAGTTGCTCATTTGTCATTTTGTGTGCTTCAGCTGCAGATGGCGTCTCTGTGATCCGGTTTTGTGCCTCCAGGCATTTAAATTTACAGGCTACATATCCACAAGGAGCGTTCCAGAATAAGAGCGTTTTGCTGAATTTGTTTTGCTGATTTGTTCGGTTGTCCTTGATTTTGTAGCTTCTACCATGGTTAAGACGCTACGTAGTTAGTGTTTCTTTTTTAGCCTGTTTTAACTGCGTTTATTGTTGATTTAAGATCGGGAGTCTGCACAGGGTGTTTTATTTTGAAAACTGACTGGTTTCTGTGTCCGACTTCCTGCCCGGTTCATCTGCTCTGTGCTACTTGTTGCAGCTTCTGTCAGAAATAGACTGGCAGTGAATATTTAACTTCAGCTAAACTAAAAATAAATTTAAAAATCGCAACATCTGGCAGAAAAATCTCAATTAGATTCCCACCCCCAAATCGCCCTAACGTCCTGTGACTCCTGCACGTTTCTGCAGTCTTTGATGAGACAAAAAACAGCTGATACCCCAGCAATGGCGTAACGGAACGTTTTAGTGGTTTTGAACGCGGTGGCGGTGCCTACTGTCCAGGGTCACTCTCCCAGGTATCTGAAAGTGTCAGCCTTTTTAACTGATGGTCATTGATGAGACCGGGGTGCTGAGGTGGGGACTGACCCAGATCCAATCAGCTCTCCAATCAATATAATGACATCAGAGATGTGAATTATTATCACACCACACACGCCTGTAACAGTTCTGATCAAACATGGAGCCATGTGATCTTCAGGTAACACACAGTAATGCTGAGCTCTGACAGGATTGGACACATTACCTGCACGTGCTCCAATGAGAACGGCCGACTATATTTAGGCACGGAGTGGGCGGAGCTAGAGTCATTCAGCATCAGAGGACTGCAGACAGACATACACAGAAAGTACATATTACACAGTAAATATATACTTCACACAGAGTAACTGGAGATCTTTTCATTTTCTGACTCCACTAGAGCAGTGTAACGTTTATCTTCTGCTCGCCTTCATGCAGCGGTTCAGTTCGGCCAGCCTCTTTAAGCCCCCCTCCCTAAAAGCTTTCTCTCTTGTGATTGGCCAGCTTCCAGGAGGCCTGCAGAGGGGCCTGTGAGCCTACTCATGTCCACCAGTGCTGAGAGCAGCACCGTCTCGTCCTCCTGCCGCTGCGCTCGACTTTAACTAGCTTTAACTTGGAAAGCAGCGATGTGGCTCAACGTGAAGAATTTACTTCTCAGACCACAGAAGAGAAAAGTCTTGGCTGGAGAGACACGGTGAACGCTGCCGGAGGGGACGGTTCCTGGTACCACATCTGCTGCACTGATTCTGCTGAAACCGGGTCATATTTTACAGAGGTTCTAGATGCACAGAGAGCTTTAAAGTAACGGCTAACTGTAACGTTAGCAATTAGAGCCATCTGTCCATCAAAAAAGTCAAGTAACTTTCCTTTTTTGTGACGCGTCCTAAACGACCTGCAAACACCTGCAGAGGGGTCTGAGGCAGGCTGAGCGGCTGGACGGCGTCCCTGTACTCTGTGGCGTGCTGAGTCTGGAGCAGATCATCTGATCTGTTGTCAGCTCGGCAGGAAAGCAGAAATAAACGTGGGAAAGTAAAGATCTTTTACACACATTTACCTACTAATGTGGAATTTTGGCCATGTTCAATCTGAACATCAGATGCTCAGGAGTTTATTCTCAGAATATTACGTTTGAAGTTTAATGATTCAAACCACGATTGGAGGAGCTGCTGCTACTATATTGTGCAGTACACTGTGCAGTACAGATGGGTGACAAATGAAAGGAAAAACCAACATTAAGTGTGTCAGTATGGAGTCTCTGGAACAGCTTCAGGGCTTCTTGTAAAATGTGTAGTATGTGCATTATATTGTGCAAGTATATTGTGCAGTTTACTGTGTAGTGTACTGTGTAGTATATTGTGCAGTGTGTTGTGTAGTTTTTGCAGTAAACTTGCATCTTCCTCTTGACTCCCAGGATTCTGTTGGACTGGACGAGAGACACCAGAAACTGGATCAACTGCAGAGAGAGAGTTCATTATTGGCTCAGGTAGAAGCTAAGACATAACAGAGCTAAGATGCTTATACAGATGCTGTTAGCGCTGTGTTAACAGTGTGCTAACATGCTAATACAGATGCATTTAGCACTGTGTTAACCGTGTGCTAACATGCTAACCTGCTTACACAGAAGCTGTTAGCACTGTGCTGACTGTGTGCTAACATGCTTATACAGACGCTGTTAGCACTGTGCTGACTGTGTGCTAACATGCTTATACAGACGCTCTTAGCACTGTGCTGACTGTGTGCTAACATGCTTATACAGACGCTCTTAGCACTGTGCTGACTGTGTGCTAACGTGCGTGTACAAGGGTGGTAGCACTGTGCTGACTGTGTGCTAACATGTGTATACTGATGGTGGTAGCACTGTGCTGACTGTGTGCTAACATGATAATATGCTTTTAAAGACGCTCTTTGCACTGTGCTGACAGTGTGCTAACATGCTTATACAGAATCTGTTAGCACTGTGCTGACCATGTGATAACATACGTATACAGAATCAGTTAGCACTGTGCTGACCGTGTGATAACATGCGTATACAGATGCTGGTAGCACTGTGCTGACCGTGTGCTAACATGCTTATACAGATGCTGTTAGCACTGTGTTGACCGTGTGCTAACGTGCTTATACAGACGCTCTTAGCACTGTGTTGACCGTGTGCTAACATGCTTATACAGACGCTCTTAGCACTGTGTTGACCGTGTGCTAACATGCTTATACAGACGCTCTTAGCACTGTGCTGACTGTGTGCTAACATGCTTATACAGACGCTCTTAGCACTGTGCTGACTGTGTGCTAACATGCTTATACAGACGCTCTTAGCACTGTGCTGACTGTGTGCTAACATGCTTATACAGATGCTGTTAGCACTGTGCTTACTGTGTGCTAACATGCTTATACAGACGCTCTTAGCGCTGTGTTAACCGTGTGCTAACATGCGTATACAGATGCTGGTAGCACTGTGCTCACCGTGTGCTAACATGCTAACATGCTTATACAGATGCTGTTAGCACTGTGCTGACTGTGTGCTAACATGCTAATACAGATGCTGTTAGCACTGTGTTGACCGTGTGCTAACATGCTAACCTGCTTATACAGATGCTGTTAGCACTATGCTGACATGCGTATACAGATGCTGTTAGCACTGTGTTGACTGTGTGCTAACATGCGTATACAGATGGTAGTAGCACTGTGCTGACCGTGTGCTAACATGCTAACATGCGTATACAGATGCTGTTAGCACTGTGTTGACCGTGTGCTAACATGCTAACCTGCTTACACAGATGCTGTTAGCACTATGCTGACCGTGTGCTAACATGCTATACAGAAGCCGTTAGCACTGTGCTGACCGTGTGCTAACAAGGTGAAGTACTGATGTACTGCTGTATTGAAGTACTGAAGTACTGCTGTATTGAAGTACTGCTGTATTGAAGTACAGATGTACTGCTGTATTTAAGTACAGATGTACTGCTGTACTGAAGTATTGCTGTATTGAAGTACTGCAGTACTGATTACCTTGTTGACGACTTTCTGCTGCTGAGTGTGTTTCTGTCTCAGACTGGCCACTTCTCTCCACAGAGCCTCGTTCTCACTGAAACAGAAACAGGATCCAGTTTATTTTAATTTAAAGAGGACACCTGCTGACAAGTTCTGGTTCTGGTCTAGGACCGGAAGTCCTTACTGCCTCATGGCGATGATCCGGGAGTCTATAGTTTCTTGTTTTCCCTTCATCAGCTGGACGTCGTTCAGGATCTTGTGCACTTCGTCTGGAGACACCTTCACTTCCTCCTGACGCACTGACGACACCTGAGCCAATCACAGCACAGAGAGACACTGCATAAAAGGTGTGTACAGGTGTATAAAGGTGTGTACAGGTGTATGTACAGCTGTATAAAGGTATGTGCAGGTGTGTGTACAGGTGTATAAAGGTGTATGTGCAGGTGTATAAAGGTGTTTACAGGTGTATGTGCAGGTGTGTACAGGTGTATTAAGGTGTGTACAGATGTATGTGCAGGTGTATTAAGGTGTGTACAGGTGTATGTGCAGGTGTGTGCAGGTGAATGTGCAGGTGTGTACAGGTGTATGTGCAGGTGTGTACAGGTGTATGTGCAGGTGTGTACAGGTGTATGTGCAGGTGTGTACAGGTGTATGTGCAGGTGTATGTGCAGGTGTGTGTGCAGGTGTATAAAGGTGTATGTGCAGGTGTATGTGCAGGTGTGTGCGCAGGTGTGTGCGCAGGTGTGTGCGCAGGTGTGTGCGCAGGTGTGTGCAGGTGTATAAAGGTGTATGTGCAGGTGTATGTGAATGTGTATAAAGGTGTATGTGCAGGTGTGTGCAGGTGTATAAAGGTTTATGTGCAGGTGTATGTGCAGGTGTATAAAGGTGTATGTGCAGGTGTATAAAGGTGTATGTGCAGGTGTATGTGAAGGTGTATAAAGGTGTGTGTGCAGGTGTATAAAGGTGTATGTGCAGGTGTGTGTGCAGGTGTATAAAGGTGTATGTGCAGGTGTGTGCAGGTGTATGTGCAGGTGTGTGCAGGTGTGTGTGCAGGTGTATGTGCAGGTGTGTGTGCAGGTGTATAAAGGTGTATGTGCAGGTGTATAAAGGTGTGTGTGCAGGTGTATAAAGGTGTGTGTGCAGGTGTATAAAGGTGTATGTGCAGGTGTATGTGAATGTGTATAAAGGTGTATGTGCAGGTGTGTGCAGGTGTATAAAGGTTTATGTGCAGGTGTATGTGCAGGTGTGTGCAGGTGTATGTGCAGGTGTGTGTGCAGGTGTATAAAGGTGTATGTGCAGGTGTGTGTGCAGGTGTATAAAGGTGTATGTGCAGGTGTATAAAGGTGTATGTGCAGGTGTATAAAGGTGTGTGTGCAGGTGTATAAAGGTGTATGTGCAGGTGTATAAAGGTGTATGTGCAGGTGTATGTGAATGTGTATAAAGGTGTATGTGCAGGTGTGTGCAGCTGTATAAAGGTGTATGTGCAGGTGTATAAAGGTGTATGTGCAGGTGTATGTGAAGGTGTATAAAGGTGTGTGTGCAGGTGTATAAAGGTGTATGTGCAGGTGTATAAAGGTGTATGTGCAGGTGTATAAAGATGTATGTGCAGGTGTGTGCAGGTGTATGTGCAGGTGTGTGCGCAGGTGTGTGCAGGTGTATAAAGGTGTATGTGCAGGTGTATGTGAATGTGTATAAAGGTGTATGTGCAGGTGTGTGCAGGTGTATAAAGGTTTATGTGCAGGTGTATGTGCAGGTGTATAAAGGTGTATGTGCAGGTGTATGTGCAGGTGTATGTGCAGGTGTGTGTGCAGGTGTATGTGCAGGTGTGTGCGCAGGTGTATGTGCAGGTGTGTGCAGGTGTATGTGCAGGTGTGTGCAGGTGTATAAAGGTGTATGTGCAGGTGTGTGTGCAGGTGTATAAAGGTGTATGTGCAGGTGTATAAAGGTGTATGTGCAGGTGTATAAAGGTGTGTGTGCAGGTGTATAAAGGTTTATGTGCAGGTGTATGTGAATGTGTATAAAGGTGTATGTGCAGGTGTGTGCAGGTGTATAAAGGTTTATGTGCAGGTGTATGTGCAGGTGTATAAAGGTGTGTGTGCAGGTGTATAAAGGTGTATGTGCAGGTGTATAAAGGTGTATGTGCAGGTGTATAAAGATGTATGTGCAGGTGTGTGCAGGTGTATGTGCAGGTGTGTGCAGGTGTATGTGCAGGTGTGTGCAGGTGTGTGTGCAGGTGTATATGCAGGTGTGTGTGCAGGTGTATATGCAGGTGTATAAAGGTGTATGTGCAGGTGTGTGTGCAGGTGTATGTGCAGGTGTGTGTGCAGGTGTATGTGCAGGTGTGTGTGCAGGTGTATAAAGGTGTATGTGCAGGTGTATGTGCAGGTGTGTGTGCAGGTGTATAAAGGTGTATGTGCAGGTGTGTGTGCAGGTGTGTGTGCAGGTGTATAAAGGTGTATGTGCAGGTGTGTGTGCAGGTGTATGTGCAGGTGTATGTGCAGGTGTGTGTGCAGGTGTATAAAGGTGTATGTGCAGGTGTGTGTGCAGGTGTATAAAGGTGTATGTGCAGGTGTGTGTGCAGGTGTATAAAGGTGTATGTGCAGGTGTATAAAGGTGTGTGTGCAGGTGTATAAAGGTGTATGTGCAGGTGTATAAAGGTGTATGTGCAGGTGTATAAAGGTGTATGTGCAGGTGTATAAAGGTGTATGTGCAGGTGTATGTGCAGGTGTATGTGCAGGTGTGTGTGCAGGTGTGTGTGCAGGTGTATGTGCAGGTGTATGTGCAGGTGTATGTGAAGGTGTATAAAGGTGTGTGTGCAGGTGTATAAAGGTGTATGTGCAGGTGTATAAAGGTGTATGTGCAGGTGTATAAAGATGTATGTGCAGGTGTATAAAGATGTATGTGCAGGTGTGTGCAGGTGTATGTGCAGGTGTGTGCAGGTGTATGTGCAGGTGTGTGCAGGTGTGTGTGCAGGTGTATGTGCAGGTGTATAAAGGTGTATGTGCAGGTGTGTGTGCAGGTGTATGTGCAGGTGTGTGTGCAGGTGTATGTGCAGGTGTATGTGCAGGTGTGTGTGCAGGTGTATAAAGGTGTATGTGCAGGTGTATGTGCAGGTGTATGTGCAGGTGTATAAAGGTGTATGTGCAGGTGTATGTGCAGGTGTGTGTGCAGGTGTGTGTGCAGGTGTATGTGCAGGTGTGTGTGCAGGTGTATAAAGGTGTATGTGCAGGTGTATGTGCAGGTGTGTGTGCAGGTGTATAAAGGTGTATGTGCAGGTGTGTGTGCAGGTGTGTGCGCAGGTGTATAAAGGTGTGAGTGCAGGTGTATAAAGGTGTGTGTGCAGGTGTATAAAGGTGTATGTGCAGGTGTGTGTGCAGGTGTATAAAGGTGTGTGTGCAGGTGTATAAAGGTGTATAAAGATGTATGTGCAGGTGTATAAAGATGTATGTGCAGGTGTGTGCAGGTGTATGTGCAGGTGTGTGCAGGTGTATGTGCAGGTGTGTGCAGGTGTATGTGCAGGTGTGTGCAGGTGTGTGTGCAGGTGTGTGCGCAGGTGTGTGTGCAGGTGTATGTGCAGGTGTGTGTGCAGGTGTGTGTGCAGGTGTGTGTGCAGGTGTGTGTGCAGGTGTGTGCGCAGGTGTATAAAGGTGTGAGTGCAGGTGTATAAAGGTGTGTATGCAGGTGTATAAAGGTGTATGTGCAGGTGTGTGTGCAGGTGTATAAAGGTGTATGTGCAGGTGTATGTGCAGGTGTATAAAGATGTATGTGCAGGTGTGTGCAGGTGTATGTGCAGGTGTGTGCAGGTGTATGTGCAGGTGTGTGTGCAGGTGTGTGTGCAGGTGTGTGTGCAGGTGTATGTGCAGGTGTGTGCGCAGGTGTATGTGCAGGTGTGTGCGCAGGTGTGTGTGCAGGTGTGTGCGCAGGTGTGTGCGCAGGTGTATAAAGGTGTGAGTGCAGGTGTATAAAGGTGTGTGTGCAGGTGTATGTGCAGGTGTGTGTGCAGGTGTATGTGCAGGTGTATGTGCAGGTGTATGTGCAGGTGTGTGTGCAGGTGTATGTGCAGGTGTGTGTGCAGGTGTATAAAGGTGTATGTGCAGGTGTGTGTGCAGGTGTATAAAGGTGTATGTGCAGGTGTATAAAGGTGTATAAAGGTGTATGTGCAGGTGTATAAAGGTGTACGTGCAGGTGTATAAAGGTGTGAGTGCAGGTGTATAAAGGTGTGTGTGCAGGTGTATGTGCAGGTGTGTGTGCAGGTGTATGTGCAGGTGTATGTGCAGGTGTATGTGCAGGTGTGTGTGCAGGTGTATGTGCAGGTGTGTGTGCAGGTGTATAAAGGTGTATGTGCAGGTGTGTGTGCAGGTGTATAAAGGTGTATGTGCAGGTGTATAAAGGTGTATGTGCAGGTGTATAAAGGTGTACGTGCAGGTGTATAAAGGTGTACGTGCAGGTGTATAAAGGTGTACGTGCAGGTGTATAAAGGTGTACGTGCAGGTGTACGTGCAGGTGTACGTGCAGGTGTGTGTGCAGGTGTATAAAGGTGTACGTGCAGGTGTATAAAGGTGTACGTGCAGGTGTACGTGCAGGTGTACGTGCAGGTGTACGTGCAGGTGTACGTGCAGGTGTACGTGCAGGTGTACGTGCAGGTGTACGTGCAGGTGTACGTGCAGGTGTATGTGCAGGTGTATAAAGGTGTGTGTGCAGGTGTATAAAGGTGTGTGTGCAGGTGTATAAAGGTGTGTGTGCAGGTGTATAAAGGTGTATAAAGGTGTATGTGCAGGTGTATAAAGGTGTATGTGCAGGTGTATAAAGGTGTACGTGCAGGTGTATAAAGGTGTACGTGCAGGTGTACGTGCAGGTGTACGTGCAGGTGTACGTGCAGGTGTATGTGCAGGTGTACGTGCAGGTGTACGTGCAGGTGTATGTGCAGGTGTATGTGCAGGTGTGTGCAGGTGTATGTGCAGGTGTGTGTGCAGGTGTGTGTGCAGGTGTATAAAGGTGTATGTGCAGGTGTGTGTGCAGGTGTATAAAGGTGTGTGTGCAGGTGTATAAAGGTGTGTGTGCAGGTGTATAAAGGTGTGTGTGCAGGTGTGTGTGCAGGTGTGAGTGCAGGTGTATAAAGGTGTGTGTGCAGGTGTATAAAGGTGTATGTGCAGGTGTGTGTGCAGGTGTGTGTGCAGGTGTATGTGCAGGTGTATGTGCAGGTGTATGTGCAGGTGTGTGTGCAGGTGTGTGTGCAGGTGTGTGTGCAGGTGTATAAAGGTGTACGTGCAGGTGTGTGCAGGTGTATAAAGGTGTACGTGCAGGTGTATGTGCAGGTGTATGTGCAGGTGTGTGCAGGTGTATGTGCAGGTGTATGTGCAGGTGTATGTGCAGGTGTATGTGCAGGTGTGTGCAGGTGTATAAAGGTGTATGTGCAGGTGTGTGTGCAGGTGTATAAAGGTGTATGTGCAGGTGTGTGTGCAGGTGTATAAAGGTGTGTGTGCAGGTGTATAAAGGTGTATGTGCAGGTGTATAAAGGTGTATGTGCAGGTGTATAAAGGTGTATGTGCAGGTGTATAAAGGTGTATGTGCAGGTGTGTGCAGGTGTATAAAGGTGTATGTGCAGGTGTATAAAGGTGTATGTGCAGGTGTATAAAGGTGTATGTGCAGGTGTGTGCAGGTGTATAAAGGTGTATGTGCAGGTGTATAAAGGTGTATGTGCAGGTGTATAAAGGTGTATGTGCAGGTGTATGTGCAGGTGTATGTGCAGGTGTGTGCAGGTGTGTGCAGGTGTGTGCAGGTGTATGTGCAGGTGTATAAAGGTGTATGTGCAGGTGTATGTGCAGGTGTATGTGCAGGTGTGTGCAGGTGTATGTGCAGGTATATGTGCAGGTGTATGTGCAGGTGTATGTGCAGGTGTATAAAGGTGTATGTGCAGGTGTATAAAGGTGTATGTGCAGGTGTGTGCAGGTGTATAAAGATGTATGTGCAGGTGTATAAAGGTGTATGTGCAGGTGTGTGCGCAGGTGTATGTGCAGGTGTGTGCAGGTGTGTGCGCAGGTGTATGTGCAAGTGTGTACAGGTAAGTACGTTGGTGACTTTGCGTTTGATGTTCTCCAGCAGGTGTTCTTTCCCTCTGATGAAGAATGGGTGTTGGAACTCTGTGTCGTCTTTCTCTGGCTTCACCAGACCCCCCTGCTCGATGTGGACCACTTTACGGAACCCATCTGCACACAGACAGAACAACACTCGGACTCAGTCGTGGTGAAACCTGTTTCCTGTGATGTCAGCAGGGATGAACCAGCGGAGCCTGATCGGCTGGATAACGGACTCTGGTGTGGTGGACTGATCTGGGATCCGTCCTGTTTGTACTCACACATGTTGAGCTGTCTGATGAAACTGGCCATGTTGTTGTGTTTGAAGAACTTTGGTAGAACTTCTTTTGAGAACCGACCCTGATCGAACACGTGGAAGCTGGTTCCGCTCTGACCCAGAACACAGAACAGGGAACACATCAGTATCAGAGACCACAGCTGCAGCCAGAAAATCACACTCCTGATCAGCAATGAATCTTTTCTGAATATTTAAACTAATCAATTCATTCTTGACCTGACCCCACCCATCCACCCACCCTCAACCGCTTATCCTGCGTACAGGGTCGTGGGGCCCGAGCTCAACCTTCCTGTCCAAAACAGACTGCGTTTGAGGCCTGGCTGGACCCTTTTTCATTGTCATGGAAACAAACACCCGTTTCAGTTGATATCCTGATGTATCAGGATCCGTTTAATTTAGGGCTACAGCTAACGATGATTTTAGTATTCGAAGCTTCTATACGTTATTTCAACGATTCATCGATGCGTCGTTTAAGAAGTACTTCAGCTGCCCCCCCACCCCCAGTAACCGGATCAGTTGTGCACGTTTATAGGTGATAGATATTTATTGATCCTTTCGGCAGCAAACATCAGACCAACAACCAGGCAGCACATCACCCGAGTACAAGTTCTACTACAGGCTCGTGCAGACTGCCGTTCACACAACTCGCCGTCTTGTGACGGGAGTCTTGAAGTTTTTGGGGCGTTCACACTACGTGACTGATCGGTGACAGGGGGTCACACACTAGCGGACAGCGTCACCCGACGCCGGTCTCCAAACCACGTTTAGTCAAGGAAACACAGGTGAAATGTCAAACGGGAAATGAGCGATCCTGCACAGGAAACAGCTGTTAGTTAGTATGAAGACAAAGAATCTGGGTGAAGGACGGATCAGCACACGCAGGTGTGGGATCGTCTGAGCTACAGAGAGCTGCAGCTCCCCACAGCCAGTTAACTCCTGTGAGGTCACAGCTCAAGGCCCAAAAAGCAGAACAACAAACCATTTTCAGCTGAGGACTGCGGCTTACTTTGGCTTCAACTCAACAATCAATCATGATTTCAGTTAAATGCTAAAGCTGCTGTTAAGTGCAATTTATACTTCTGCGTCAAACCGACGGCGTAGACTACGGGGCTACGCAGAGGCTATACAGTCGCCTGAAGTGCACCTCCTCAAAAATGTAACTACACGTCGAGTCAAAACGGCGGCTGTAACACAGTGGATCAATATATTTGACCGTCGCAACCCGAGCGAAATGACTTGTTTTGCTATCAGAATGTGATCCACTCGGTCGGTAACATTTGAAAAGGCTACACCAGCCGCACGTTTACAATTTTACCCCCATTTACGTTAGCGGAGCGCTAAACCGGAAGTTAGCCCGCTCGGACAGAAAAAGTCAACAGAGTGGACGCCGTAGCGCTACTGCCAAGGGGCGTTTGGGGGTGTAATTGTAGAATGGCGGACACACCTACGCACAAGTACAAATGCATGGCTACGTGCGTAGCCTACGGCGTAGGTACGCACGTACACCCTACGCAGGAGTATAAATGGGCCTTTAGCGCTTTCTGATCAGGCGCCGTCGTGCTGTTGCCGAAACGACGAAAGTTTGGTTTTACGGTGGACGGACGGTAACATTACAGGGTTGTTGTTTCTTTAGCTTGAAATAATCCCAGACATTGGACACTTTCTTCTTTGTCCCTCGCTGTTTTCTCTTCCTCCACTTTGCAAACAGCGCCATCGTCATCGTGCGATGTGCGACAGTAATAAATGTCCGGGCGAAACTCTGGCTGTAAAGTTACATGGATTAAACGAAGCATCGATGCAAAGAATTTGTGTTGCTGAGTTTAGTAATCGATTTAATCAATTAATCGATTAGTTTAATTGACCAGGACTATCAGGTTCAGTTTAATTGATCAGGATCAGTTTAATTGATCAGGATCAGTTTAATTGATCAGGATCAGTTTAACTGATCAGGTCTATCGGGTTCAGTTTAACTGATCAGGTCTATCGGGTTCAGTTTAATTGATCAGGTCTATCGGGTTCAGTTTAATTGATCAGGTCTATCGGGTTCAGTTTAATTGATCTGATCTATCGGGTTCAGTTTAATTGATCTGATCTATCGGATTCAGTTTAATTGATCAGGTCTATCGGGTTCAGTTTAATTGATCTGATCTATCGGGTTCAGTTTAATTGATCTGATCTATCGGGTTCAGTTTAATTGATCAGGTCTATCGGGTTCAGTTTAATTGATCAGGTCTATCGGGTTCAGGTTAATTGATCAGGTTCAGTTTAATTGATCAGGTTCAGGTTAATTGATCAGGTTCAAGTTAATTGATCAGGTTCAGGTTAATTGATAGGATTCAGTTTAATTGATCAGGTTCAGGTTAATTGATCAGGTTCAGATTAATTGATCAGGTCCATCAGGTTCAGTTTAATTGATCAGGTTCATCAGGTTCAGTTTAATTGATCAGGTTCAGATTAATTGATCGGGTTCAGTTTAATTGATCGGGTTCAGTTTAATTGATCGGGTTCAGGTTAATTGATCGGGTTCAGGTTAATTGATCAGGTTCAATTTAATTGATCAGGTTCAGGTTAATTGATCAGGTCTATCAGGTTCAGATTAATTGATCAGGTCCATCAGGTTCAGATTAATTGATCAGGTCCATCAGGTTCAGTTTAATTGATCAGGTTCAGTTTAATTGATCAGGTCTATCAGGTTCAGTTTAATTGATCAGGTTCAGTTTAATTGATCAGGTTCAGGTTAATTGATCAGGTCTATCAGGTTCAGTTTAATTGATCAGGTTCAGTTTAATTGAAAGGGTTCAGTTTAACTGATCAGGTCTATCGGGTTCAGTTTAATTGATCAGGTCTATCGGGTTCAGTTTAATTGATCAGGTCCACCTCCTCCCCCTCTCTTACCATCCTGGAGAGGCATGTCAACAGACTGTTCAGGAGGCAGAAACCTTGCAAAGCAGCTGGACCGGATTCTGTCGCCACATCCACCCTGAAGCACTGTGCTGATCAGCTGTGACATTTTTAACACCTCACTGGAAACATGCCATGTGCCAGCCTGCTTCAAAGCCTCCACCATCATCCCTGTCTCCAAGAAACCAAGGACCACTGGACTAAACGACTACAGACCCGTCGCCCTGACCTCTGTGGTTATGAAGTCCTTTGAGCGCCTTGTGTTGTCTCACCTGAAATCCATCACAGACCTACTCCTGGACCCCCTGCAGTTCGCCTACAGAGCCAACAGGTCTGTAGATGATGGAGTAAACATGGCCCTTCACTACATCCTCCAGCACCTGGACTCCCCAGGAACCTACACCAGGATCCTGTTTGTGGATTTCAGCTCTGCTTTTAACACCATCATCCCGGCCCTGCTGCAGGACAAGCTCTCTCAGCTGAGCCTGCCTGACTCCACCTGCAGGTGGATCACTGACTTCCTGACAGACAGGAAGCAGCAGGTGAAGATGGGAAAACATGTCTCTGATTCCAGGACCATCAGCACCGGTTCCCCTCAAGGCTGCGTTCTTTCCCCCCTTCTCTTCTCCCTGTACACCAACAGCTGCACCTCCAGTCACCAGTCTGTCAAGCTCCGGAAGTTTGCAGATGACACCACCCTCATCGGGCTCTTCTCTGATGGGGATGAGTCCGACTACAGGTGGGAGATCGACCATCTGGTGACCTGGTGCAGCCAGAACAGTCTGGAGCTCAACACTCAGAATACAGTGGAGATGGTCGTGGACTTCAGAAAGAGCCCAGCCCCACCCTCCCCCATCATCCTGTGGGACTCCCCAGTCACCACTGTGGACTCCTTCCGCTTCCTGGGCACCATCATCTCCCAGGACCTCAAGTGGGAGCTGAACATCACCTCCCTCACCAAGAAGGCCCAGCAGAGGATGTACTTCCTGCCGCAGCTGAAGAAGCTGCCAAAGACAAAGATGGTGCACTTCTACACCGCCATCATTGAGTCCATCCTCACCTCCTCCATCACCATCTGGTACGCTGCTGCCACTGCCAGGGACAAGGGCAGGATGCAGCGCATCATTCGCTCTGCAGAGAAGGTGATTGGCTGCAATCTTCCTTCTCTTCTGGACCTGTACGCCTCGAGGACTCTGAGGCGAGCAGGAAAGATTGCAGCAGACTCCTCCCACCCCGGACACAAACTGTTTCAGACTCTCCCCTCTGGCAGGAGGCTGCGGTCCATCAGGACCAAAACCTCTCGCCACAAAAAAGGTTTGTTTCCGATGGCAGTGGGCTTCCTCAACAAAGCCCGGGCCCCCACTGTCAGATACTCTCATGCCCCCCCCAAACTCACAAACACTCATTCGCTCTCCTGACCCCACACTTTACAACAACGCTCATCTGTGCTTTATGCTCATGTTGTCAACTTTTGCACTTGTCAGCATTGTATTATAGTATTTTTTGTATTGTATTTTTTTGATCTCCTTACTTTTATATATTTATATTACAATTTATGTTTTATGTGTACTGTTAAGCACCAATTCATACCAAGGCAAATTCCTGGTATGTGAAAATGTACCTAGCAATAAACCCGATTCTGATCAGGATCAGTTGATCTTTGAGGTAAATATTGGACTCTAGTTCATGTTCATTATCTCTGGTGTCTAAATCCTCCACAGAAATCTCATTATCTCTGATCAGCTGTTAGCCTGTTAGCTCAGACGCTGAACCTGAAGCTAGCAGCATGTAGCTTGTTGTTGATCCTGCCTGTCCTCTGAAGGGCTCTGCTTTCTAACTGTTAGCTCCCCGCTAGGCTAGGCTAGGCTAGGCTAGGCTGCAGCAGTTACCGGGCTCCAGCAGATCAGCGGGTCGGTGTCCTGGTCCTCCACCAGGGTCCACAGTTTGGTGAGGAAGGCCGGGACGTTACCGCCGCTCAGCACCGCCCCTCCTCCTCCTCCGGGATACTCCATCACAGAAGTAATCAAACCCTGCGAACTGAAAACAGCTAGTCGGCCTGGAGATGCTAACAGTTAGCCTGCTGCTATCCGCTCATCAAAGATCAAAGTAACGAACTGCGACACGGAGCCAGACTGCGGTCTGATCCGGGTCCCAGAGGGTTCGGTCCCGGTAAGGCAGCTGGACTGTGCCGGGCTCTGCCGGTCTACAACGGCTTTATTCAGCCTCAGTTCTGAACTCCGCGGTGGAAAATTACCACAAATCCGATAAAGCAAACAACTGCGTAGCTAGCTGACTGTCGCGCCGTGATGAGGTCACGCGAAAACGTAACGTCAACGTCTGGTCGCGCTGTGACGCAAAGACCTGTAATCCGGGGGGGGGCTTGGTTTAGGGTTAGGTTAACCCGCCTCTTACAGCTCCACAGTTTGGCTGCAGGAGACCTTCTGATTCTGCTGAATCCCCCCTGTCCTCTCTGCTCCTCCCCACCTTCTGCTCAATCTTGCATTAATAAACTCTGAAACTCTCATCTTAACATACGCTTTGATTTCTGCTTCAGTACACCAGCAGCTTCCTCAACTTTCTTCACTACTTGAATGACTATAGCCAGCTAGCTGAACTGTGTCCGCCTCAATATGATTGTTTCAGTCAACCGAGGGTCAGTGGTCGTGGTGGTGGGCTAGTGAGCGTGTATAGGAAAAATTTAAAATGTCATCAAGTACGCTGTGATGAATTTAGCTCCTTTGAAGTTCTCACTCTTAAAGTTGGAGGGCTGCATCATATTTGTTATAATTTATCGCCCTCCAAAACCGCCTGGAGGATTTTTATCAGAACTTCCTGAATTTTTATCTACTCTGGTTTTAAATTATGACAGAATTGTTCTTTGTGGCGATTTTAATATTCATGTTGATGACCCCAACAATGTTAATGCAACTGACTTTTTAAATATGGCCACTTCTTTTAACTTCAAACAACATGTCAAAGGGCAAACACATAACCGTGGTCATACACTGGACTTGGTTTTTACCCTGGGTGTCAGCATCTCCTCTGTGGAATTAGTGGACATGACCATATCTGACCACAGATGGATTGTTTTTAGCTGCGATTCGCCTGTTACTCACGCCGCCTCACCAAGCTCCGTGTGTTCTCGCTTCTTTAATGAACAAAGTGTTTCAAAGTTTTGCGCATTCTTTCAGAGCCAAAGCCAACACCTGTCTGATTCCAACACCAACAATCTGGTCGATCACTTCAGTCATATCTGCTTGTCGTCACTAAATATTACTGCTCCTCTAAAGGTTAGGCCTACGTCTAAAGCTAGTAAGCAACCCTGGATAAATGACAGCATTCGCAGCCTAAAAAGGGAATGCAGGAAAGCAGAGCGCAGATGGAAAAAATCCAGTCTCCAAGTCCATTACCTCAGTCTGAAGGATTTATTAATTAACTACAATAACATGGTTAAGGATGCGAGAACACACTATTTTTCTGAACTCATTACTACACATAAACACAATCCCAGGTTTCTGTTTAAGACTGTGGATCAGCTGGTAAACCCAACCCCTCCTTGTGCCTCAGCTGGAAGTAATGATGACTGTGAATTGTTTTTATCTTATTTTACCAATAAGGTGGTGTCAATCAGAGCCTCTATTACCCCCGTGGCCTCTTACTCAGAGGTTCCTCACCAGCAACAACAGAGTTTTAACCAGTTTTATCCCATCGACTTGTCTGAGCTTTTAAAAACAGTATCACAAATGAGAGTGTCCTCCAGCCCACTTGATGTAATAACTACAAAGTTTTTACTGAAAGTAATAGATTCTGTTGGGCCCCATTTGATCTCTGTTTTCAACAGCTCCCTATCTACTGGTTGTGTCCCTGATTATTTTAAAACGGCTTGCGCGAACCCACTTTTAAAGAAACCTGGTTTAGATCCCTCCCTCCCACAAAATTTTAGACCAATTTCAAAACTGCCTTTTATTGCAAAGATTCTAGAAAGAATTGTGTCCAAACAGCTGCTCACTGTACTGGAAAATAACAAATTATTTGAAAAGTTTCAGTCTGGTTTTAGGAAGTACCACAGCACTGAGACTGCCCTGCTTAAAGTCACCAATGACCTTTTAATGTCTGCTGATGAAGGCATGTGCTCAGTCCTGGTACTCCTGGACCTTAGCGCTGCTTTTGACACCATTGATCACAACATCATGTTAGACAGACTGAGGCACTGGGTGGGGATCTCTGGTACTGCCCTAGAATGGTTTTCATCCTACCTGTCAAATAGGAAGTTTTGTGTGTCTGTAAACAACTATGTCTCTTCATTCTGTCCAGTTAAATATGGTGTGCCTCAGGGGTCGGTCTTAGGACCCATTTTGTTTTCCTTGTATCTGCTTCCCCTTGGACATATTATCCATAAACATGGCATAAACATTTCTTTTCATATTTATGCTGATGACACACAAATATACTTGCCCGTCAGATCCACAGACCCTGGAATGCTGAGTTCACTTAACAACTGCCTTTGTGAAGTAAAAAAATGGATGTCAAATAATTTCCTCCAGCTGAACTCAGACAAAACAGAAATCCTGGTCATCGGGTCTCCGCAGATGGCAAATCAAATACTGCCATCTGCTGGTTCCCTAGTAAATCACATTAAGCCTGTGGCAAAGAACCTTGGCGTTTGGTTTGATAGTAATTTAAATTTCGAGCAGCACACCACAAAGCTCGTTCAATCATGTTTTTATCAACTTAGAAATATAGCTAAAATTCGAACTATGTTAACTTTTAAGGACACCGAGACCATTTTACACGCCTTCATCTCATCATGCCTGGATTATTGCAACAGCCTTTTCACCTGTTTAACCCAAAAATCTATTGATCGACTCCAGACTGTCCAGAACTCAGCTGCCAGGCTTTTAACCAGAACAAAGAAATATGACCACATTACTCCTATTTTAGCTTCATTACACTGGCTCCCAGTATGTTTTAGAATTGACTTTAAAATTCTATTGATCACTTTTAAAGCTCTTCATGGCCTCTCGCCTTGTTATATTTCTGACCTTTTAGTCCCATACGCACCAGCACGTACCTTGAGATCCTCGGGCAGAGGTCTGCTGTCTGTTCCAGAGTCTCGACTGAAAACTAAAGGGGACAGAGCGTTTGCTGTCAGGGCCCCGAGGCTCTGGAACAGCCTGCCCGAGGAAATCAGGTCAGCTGAGTCAGTGAACTCTTTTAAGTCCCTTCTTAAAACATACTTTTATAGGAGAGCCTTTCCCGATCTTATTTGACTTTATTTCATCCCTTTTATTTTATTCTATTTTACTAATTTTATATTTATCTTAAACGTGTATTTTAGTCTTTTCAATGTTTTCTTGCTTTTATCTTGTATTGTTTTTGTATTATTGTCTTTACACTTGTTAAAGCACTTTGTAACTTGTTTTTGAAAAGTGCTCTACAAATAAAGATTATTATTATTATTATTACTTCATCCACAGCTGACTCCCTGTCTGCGTTAACCTTCTTATAAACCTCATGGATCGTGAATGAAAACAGAACAGGACTTGTGACGCCCACCTGAGGGCCCCTGATGTGGAGTTCCCCACAGGGACCTACCGAATAGGAAACCTCTGATCCAGTTAAACATTTTACCTCCAGTACCCATGTTACCCAGCTTTCTTAACAGACCGTCCCTGCTCATCACATCGGACGCCTTCTCTGCATCAGAGAAAACTGCCTCCAGCCGTCTTTGTTAGCTTCAACTTTGCTGATGTCCTTTCCCAAACAGACTGAAGGGTCCAGAGGGCCCTGCCTCCTTCTAATCTCTGAAACGACGCTGAAAAGAGTAGTGAGCTGTTCTTTCTGTTCTCTGTGGTTTTAAACACGCGTGAGGTCAAAACTGTGGGCCTGAGTTGGGTTGCTTCTTCTTCTCCTCGTCCCAAACCTCCAGCTCTTCAGGGCAGATCTATGTAATCGTGGTGCAGCTGCTGCCGCTCTGTGACTCCGGGCCCTCCTCAGCTCGGCCCGGTAGAGGCCTCATCTGAGGACTGTGATTGGCATTTCTTTACCTCCTCCTCTCTGATGTCTGCTGATTTCACCTTCTTCTGTCACATTATCTCAACTATGGATTTTAACAAAGCTCTTTGCTGACATCTCTGCCTTTTCTTCCCCTTCCTTCAGCTCTGACAGATCCTGATTCCCTCCCCCTTTTAGTCGTTCCCCACACTTTACCTAGTGCCGCTGATCTTCTCTCTCCAACACATCTTTGCTGCCCGTTCGGTTATCTTCTTAACTACATTGAATGATTTCCTCATTTTATTTCTGTTTGACGGCTTCAGAAGCGTCTTTGTTCCACCGTGGCACCGTTTTAACTTTCCTTTTGGCTTCTGATGCTCCATTTAATCCAGCTGTGATCAAACTGACACATGCAAACTTACTCCAATCTGCTTTACCCAGAATCCTTCTTGTAACCCCGCCAAGTTCAGCCATAATGTTTTCCTCAGCATTAATCGGTCACTAACAATTCTGTTACATCACTGCACACCAGATCTCCGCTGACTCCATTAACCAAACCTTTATCCTCTAGAATCAGTCCATGATGGTCTGGACTTTTCCCTCCCCACATGAGCCTTAAAACCACATCGTTCTGTGTCCCCGATCAAACTCCTGTAAATCTTCATTCTTTTACACGGATTAGACAAATTAACTATATTTCTTTTATTCTCAGTAACAACTACCTCTAAATCTGCACTGAGATTAACTGCTACCCCCCCCCCCGTGACTCTATCCTGCCTTGTTATTACATATTAACATCCAGGTGAGGTCGGGCTCTACATTCAGCTGCTGCACATCTCTTAAAGTCTGGTCCGTTTGCAGTCAGGCTCTGGAAGAAAAGGAGACCCGTGATGATCTTAATCACTGAACCGAGAGGTTCCGTCGTTCTGCGTAACACGTCTAAAGCCAGGTAATCTCTTGCTGCCTCACCAACAGGCCTCGGCCTTTTCTTTGTCTGCTGCGTTGCCACAAACCTCTGGAAGCTACAGACTCATCCTGTCAGAGTCTCGTCTTCGACTGCACACTGACGCGAACACTTAACGGCACTCTGTGCCTCTGTGGTGGTTTAGTGGGTCGCTGAGAGAGAACCCGCTGTCACTGCTGCTATGCAGCTCTATGTTCCCCCACAGTTCCAGCATTTTGTTTTAGCAGCCACTGCGCAACGGCCATATTCATGTTCTCCAGCACACCATCGGCTTTACACTCATCAGCCGCCGGCCAAGTTCTTTCTCATTTCCCTAATTTGTGTCTCCTCAACAGGAAACGAGCATTTAAAGAA